TCTCAAACTCCTGGCTGGTCTACAAGAGAGACTGTGTCGTACTGAATGAGAAACCAATGCCTCTTAAAAGGTTCCACCTGGCAGTTGCCCACATTTTGAAGCAAGTCAAGAAGACAGCATCCAATGTTGGCCGACCAGCATCTTCCTCTCCACCAGCCATGTCTCAGAAGAAACACTACATCCCACGACCCTCACAACCACAACAACATGTGCGTTATGACAACCGTGGACACATGCCTCTTCACAGTGTTTTCTAGATGTGTAAATCTGTCTAAAAAGTCACAAAAGTTAACAAGGTTAACAAAGCATGTTATTGCACTTTTTTTTTTTGTATTTATGTTCTAATTTTGTGACAAAGTGCCATCTCACCTGTTTGGTAGAGATGCATATTTTATACACACAAACACATTGTTTTTATTATTGCCCCAAACAAATAATAAAAAAAAAATACAAAAAAAAAGTACATTGCTTTTGTCTTAGTGAGGACATTAACTGAGACCAACTGTTCCTGCTTGATTAGATTGGAAACCTGCAGCCACACATTGTTGATAACATTTGTGATAACATTATGTTGATAATATATGTTCTGAGGTACTTGTAACTTAATCTCTATCTACTTTAATTACAGAAAGCTTTATGGTACAACTTACAGCAAACAAAAACACACTTGTAGTGACACCAACTAGGTCAAGTAGTCAGTTTAATGGATAAAAGTAATAAATAACACAATATAACTATGTACTCCAGGCCTGGGGTCTCCTTGCTCTAGTCCCTGCCCTGTAACACACCTGACTCAGCTCATGAAGGACTTTTGATGAGCTGGATCAGGTGTGTTGGAATGGGGAACAGTTCAGATTGTGCAGTGCAGTGTTAGTTTTCACCCATTTGTCAACTCCAGAGCTAAACTTTAACATATTGGCTTCTATTTGTCTGTGGCAGAGTACTTCAGTGAAGTGGAGGACCAGCAGGTTCCATTCCCTACCCAAAGTGTTCTTTGTTCTCATGCTGCTCCAAGACTTCTGTTTCACTACTCACTTACCACTCACACATGACAGAAACCCCCCTCAGTGACTTCTCCAAATTCTTAGTATTTATGATAGAGAGTACAGGCAACGCTCTGACTTTCTAAAAAGCTGGTTTTTGCTACATCATGTGACTCCCACTCTGCACTACTCACATATTCTGGTCAGTGGCAGTAGAGAATTTAGTACTTAGTACGACAGAATAAGTTACAGCCCAGAATGTTTTTATATGCACATCTAGGTCCTTGTATATTAATAAAGACATCTACACAAATAAATATAAAATAAATGATTTATACCAATTATAATTAGCCTGTTTTTGAAGGTGTGTTCTCTTTTCTTTGGAATACTTGATAAGATGGAGGCCGTGTGCAGCCTGGCAAGACTGCTGTATCCTCTCATTCTTTCAAATAAGGTTTTAGCACCACACAATTAATGCATCTGAACAAGTTACCAGGGGTTCACTTTAAATCACTTGTGCACATTCTTAGGCAAAACTTGGGCATCGCTTTATTCTGAGTGATGCTTTATTGATTAAATAAACTGTCATCAGACTATCAGTAATACATCAACCATACATCGGTCAAGTAGCAGTAGTGAAGCATCTGTAGCAGAAGTTCATATCTGTAGATGTTAACCTGAGAACTTCCTGAACATATAACAGGTGTAACGTGCCATCTCAAGATACTCAACAAGCTGCTATAGACATGGTACTGATGCAAGTGTTTGATTGACATACTGACATTGTGTAGATGTGCTGTTGTGCATTACTTGGGAGAATGCAAAACACTAAGGGGGAACACAAATACAAAATACATTGAAGCAGTGGCATCAACAGGGATTTTGGGACCCATGAAGAGATATCACATTGGGCCCCACCACCACATTCTATAAGGACTCTTATTAGTAGTTTTCCATCCATTGTGTGTGTGTGTGTGTGTGTGTGTGAATTTTTTTGCTATTAAATAAATATTTCCACTAATGTGAGCTTTTAGCTTTTAAGTTACATCCACTAGAACAACTGCAGACCCAATCATTGAACAACTGTTAATGTTTTTAATACATTGACAATTTATAAATTCACCCATTTACGCCCAAAGATTAGCTGTGTATTTAGAAAGATTTGTGTACATGCACAAATTTGTTTGTTTGAGAGAAAGCGAGAGGGAGAGAGAGGGAGTGAGAGGTAGAGAGAGAGGAAATATTTGTAATATTATACATTTTACAAATATGTATAATGTTATACAAATAACATTATTTGGTTATTATCATTTTGCTCATTTAAGAGAATCTAACGTCTCACTCCTCACTGCATTGCTATATGCAGGTTAAATGTTTCAGTGGTATCATGCAGCTCATTTTCAAGTACCAGTCAGAACACGAATGACACATAATCATATCCCGATAAGGAGAAAACAAGTCATAACTAGCTACCATTTAACTTTACCCACAGAGATAGATGGAGTGCTGCAGGTTTATGGCTGGAAAGTAATTTTATTAAAACAAAAAAAAAAAAAACAATTTTGACAACTCAAAGAAGAGTGAGTGAGCAGGTGTGTAGCAGGGTAAGACATCAGAGTGTCACTCGCTAGATCTAATCAGATAGTCATTTGTTCTGATTCTAGCAGGTAACACTTTATTTGATGGTCCACTGTAAATACTTTGTAGATGCTCAGTATATTTCTAAGTAATATTCAACTAAATATCTATTAAATGCAACTTGAGTGTGGAAGATTCTATCAAATCTATCCCTAAACCTAACTCTAACCATATAGTTGTTGATAATCAACTGGGTGTCACCAAAAATTTTGTTCATGAGTTTCATCTATAGATCATCTATAGTGGACCATCGAAATAAAGAAAAAAAAAAACATTCAATCACATTTAGAGTGTAACATGCTTAAAAAGTATTAGCAAAGATGTATTTCATTTGATCCTCAATCTCACCTTACAGATGATACTACATCAGTATTAGTATTTTTGCCAGAGAAATACAAATCAGTAAAAACAATCAAATTTGCTGTTGTCACTAATGATTTTAATAATATAAATTTACTATATGATGATCAGTGAATTTATAAAGTTTAGAGGCTGTAAATATAAGATTTATGGTCTCTAAAGTTGATACCTATGTCTAAAAAATTCTACTAAGTAAAAATATTATTTTTTCCACAGCAAAAATTATTAGGCTTAATCCCATTTCTGTAGCTTATACCTACAAAATGAAGAAGAACTCCCCTGATAATGAATCCAGATATAACAAAAGGTAACCAGAATGTGTTTTCTGTAAGACAGAATGTAGTGGAACATTAATAGCAAATGTATTTTTTCAAGAAAATTATACAAAAGAAAGGAAACATTTACAGCTTCCCAAAGATATTAAAAGAAAAACAATACAGAAAAATAAGTAAATTAATATGATACATTTCCATAAACACACATAATTCCACAGAAAGTCTTTAATAAAGCTCACATAAGGCTGAAAAAAATAAACCAAATATGCAAATAGATTAAAGACAGTGAAAAGGGGGAAGGACACCCACAGTTCTCTCCTCACTAGAGGATTTGGACAAATCAGGCAATTGTTTTCTAGTCTTTTTTTCTCCTACATGCAGCAAAGGGTCTTTTCATAAAAAAGCAAGTGAGAGAAATGAGGTTTTGTAAGATAACAAAATAACTGCAATATTATGCCTGTGTTCATTAGCATTGAAGTTCCTAGTAAATAAGCCACTATGCTGGCCACTCCGTCCACTGCAGTGTCAGTGGACTGTCAGTAATTAGTGCCACTTTTAGTAAATCTGCCCCTTATTGTCTTTCTTGTAATACCCTTACTACTGTTATAACATTAACCCTAAATGTATTTCCTTCAACACACTACTGCTGTAACTTTAACTCTACATGTATTTCTTTCAACTCAACCTTAAATATAAATAAGTAACCCCTCCCAATTACTAAAAAATATGTCATATTTTCATAACAGTGTGGAAACATACATGGGGGAAATCTAGGACTTTTCAGTGTTTTTTCCCAGAGTCATACATTTAGTTGACAATCAGGAAACCTGTCTGTCAACTGATCTTCCCTCATACAGCAACATACAGCATATCCCTACAATACATCAAATACAAAGTGATGCCTGCAAATGCTCCTCTGTGAATTGTTGTTTTTTTCTTATTTTTAAACCAGGCGCTCTCTAGACATGCAAGACAGCTGCATATGAAGTGCATTTTCATTATGATTCTTTTTTGGCCACTTGTCTTTATGTAAGCATGAGCAAAACAGTGGGTTTTGTAAGGGAGGATGAAAGTAATTGATGAAATGAGCCTCTGATGCCAAACATGCAGTGCCTTGCAAAAGTATTTAACTACCCTTAAACGTCTTCAGATTTTTATTGCAAACCAGTATGTTCTTAAGGTAAATTTTCAAAGGCAAAATTAATTGTCAGCAATTCTTGAAAAAATTAAATAAAAACTAATAAATGCTACTTGCATAAATATTCCACTCCTTCAGACTAGTACTTGGCAGAAGCACTTTTGCTGCAATGGTGGCTATAAGTCTGTTGGGGTAAGCATTTACCAGCTTTGCATGCTGTTTGATGGTGATTTTTACCCATTCTTCCTGGCAGATTTCATGCAGGTTGTTCAGGTTTGTTGACACTTTTGCAATTTTCTAATAGTGCCACAGAATCAATAGTGGGTTGACATCTGGACTTTAACTTGGTCACTGTAGAACACTTCACTCCTGTGTTGCTTTGGCCTTGTGCTTTGAATCACTGTCCTGCTGAAAGTGAGGTCTCTCCCAAGCAAGCTGTCTTGCAGTATCTCCCTGTATTTGCAGCATCCACACATGATAATGCTGTGGGGTTGTTTTCGAGGTGTTAGGCTCGGCCCCTTAGTTCCAGTGAAAGGAAATCTTAATGCCCCAGCATTTTAAGATATTTTGGACAATTGTACACTTCCAACTTTGTGGGAACAGTTTGGGGAAAGTCCTATCCGTTCCAGCATGACTGAGCCGCAGAGCACAAAGCATGGTCCATAAAGGCATGGCTAGGTGAGTTTGGTGTGGAAGAACTTCACTGGACCGCACAGAGTCCTGACTTTAACCCCATCAAACACCTTTGCGATGAACTAGAACGGAGATTGTGAGCCAGGCCCTCTCGTCCAACATCAGTGTCTGACCTCACAAATGCTCTTCTGGATAAATGAGCAAAAATTACCACAGACCCACTCCGAAGTATTGTAGAAAGCTTCCCAGAAGAGTAGAAGCTGTTATTGCTGCAAAGGGGGACCAACTCCATATTAATGCCTATGGATTTAGAATGTGACATCATTTCAATTGCTTGATTCCATTTCAGGGCTCAAAAACAGTGATTTTATTCCTTATTTTTGCCTGCGCAGAAATACGAGAAGTGGTGGGGTATGAAAACTTTGTCACAACAAACAGAAGGAATAAGTGGGAATATATAAGAAATTTGAATTTAAAATTACCATCATCATTGATTGAACTGGTAGTTTTGTCTCTGAAGTATCAGGCTGTACTTTGATCATGATTTACAGTTAGCCTTATTGAATTAAACACTTTGACTTTTTACGTTTCAGTTTCTCAACTTCTGCTCGTAGTTCTTTCATTTCCTCAGTTCTCTGGCAGTCAGCGAGTTGATACTGTCTCTCCAAAGCTTCATACTCTTTTTGGTGCTTTTCTATAAGTTCCAGAAGGTGCTTATCTTTCTTGTCTTTGAACTCGTTGAACTCTTCTGCCTGTTTCCTGGCCTCGTCTTCATAGTTATTCTTCATCTCTGTCATTTTCTGATCAAAATCCTTTGTCATTTCCTCACGCTCCCTCTCTTGTCTCTCTCTTCTAGCTCTGTCTTCTGTCTCTCTCTTCTCTCTCTCCTCCAGGTGTTCTCTCTCTATCTCCTTTGTGAGTTTCTGCAGCTTTTGAAATTCTTCTTCTCTTCTTTCATCATCCTCACGCTTTCTTTTTGCAGTTTCTTCATTCCTTATTCGCTCCAGTTTTTCCTGCTGTTTTTTCATTTCAGCTATCACTGCATGTTTTTTCCCCTCGTACTCTCTCTCTTTTTCCTGATACTCTGTCTTCTTCCATTGATGTTTCTCCTGCTCTCTCCTGCGTCTTTCTTCCTCCCACTCCTTTTCAAATTTCTCTGTCATTCTCTCCTGTTCGAGTTGTTTTGCTCTGAGCTCTTCTTCATGTCTCTGCTTTCTAAGACGTTCTTCTTCCTCTCGTTCTTTCATCTGTTTGTTCATCTTTTCTTCCCATTCCCTTTGTTTACGTTTGAGGTCCTCTTGTATCTCTTTTCTCTGATGTTCAGCCTCTTTAATTTTTCTCTCCCAGCTGCGCCTCTCATCCTCTTCTTCTTTTCTTCTCCTGCACGCCTCTAAAGCTCTCTTTTGTAGATCTTCCTCCTGCCTCTTTCTCAGCTCCTCCATGGCTCGCTTCTGCTCCTTTATGAAATTGTCTGTATCCTGTTTGTATCTCTCTTCTTTCTTTTTATCCTCCTCATCTCTGTCCTTTAGCTGCTTTTCAAATTCAGCTCTCTGCTTTTTATTCTCTCTTTCCAGCTCATTAATTCTCTGATGCCATTTCTCCATTTGCTTTTTTTCATCCTCCAATCTTATCTTGTCTTCCATCTCCCTCTTCCTCTCCTCTGCTTCATTCTTTTCCTCAAACTCTTTTTGAAGAGCTTCGATCTTTTCTCTGAACTTCCTCTCTATTTGCTGTTTTTCTTCCCCAACTTTTAGTTTTTCTTCTTCCAGTCTCTTCCTCATCTCTTCCATTACAATGATGTATTTGGCTTTCAGTTTCTCCTTCTCAGCTTGAATCTCTTTCTCTCTCTCTTTCAGAATTTCTTCCATTTTCTTTTTGATGCACATTTCTGCCTCTTGGAACATTTCGTTTGTAAAACATTGGCCTCTGTTTGAGTTTATCACCATGTCTATCTGTCTTAAAAGCTCTTTTTTTCTGTTTTCTTTTTCATTGTTATTAAAAGCTAGGATCCTGTTTCCACAGTCTCTGAGCAGCTTCTTGATTTGTTCATTGTTACTTTTCTCTATATATTGATCTATTGACTGATTTCCCAGCTCATCTCTTCTAGTGAACAGCACGATGCTGAAATTTGCAGCGTTTGGACCAAAGATCTTTTTCATCAGATCTAAAGTGTCTAATTCCTCTCTGGTGATTCTTCCTAAACTCAGCACAATGATGAAAGCATGAGGTCCAGGAGCTGACAGTGAGATGCACTTTGCCACTTCTTCTATTACTGCTTCATTTGTCAGTGAGGTGTCAAAGAGTCCTGGAGTGTCAACAACAGCGACTGACTTCCCCAGAACTTCACCAACTCCTTTCTGGCAAACATTCGTCACAGAATCCATACTAGCTTCACTCACAAATTCATCTCTTCCCAGGATGGTGTTTCCTGTTGCACTCTTCCCACTTCCTGTCCTTCCAATCAGTACTATCCTCAAACACTCCGAACCCTTTGGTGGATCTTTGTGTCCTACAATTGACAGCAAAAGTCATATGCAATTCATATTTTATGTACATGTTATGTTATGTTAGCTGTCTAGCACAGCATATAAGAGTTGAAATTAAGTAAAGATCAGAGTTGTTCAGATTATGTTCAGCTTTAATTGAGGATGAGGGCATTTACATCAAAATTTGCTGAACATGGTTGATGAGGTATGTATGATATGTCTAAAATGGTTGTAATTCCTATAGTGAACATAAATACATTTACATCAAAGCTGAAAGTCTGAAATTTGAGCTCATATTGATTATTTGGTTCCAACTCCAATACAGCATATTACACACGTATAAATACAATCGACTACATAATTATTGGCACCCTTAAAACATAAAATGTACACGGACTTGCCGCTTCATGAAGTACACCTCCTTGTATCTACACTCATTGTCCATTTTATCAGCTCTACCACTGCATGATAACTGATGTTTTTGGAAATTTAATGACCTGCACATTTCTTTGAAGTGTCCAAGACATGGACAGGAATTTCTTAATCTCGTACATGCTTTATAGCAACATAAAATGCCAACATATGTTGGTCCCTTGTTTGAGTGCAATTAAGCTACATATTATGTTAGAAAAAATCTTTTTGGAATAGTTCAAAATAATATATAATTTGAAAATGAATATTTCTTGCCATTTTTATTGTGAGCGAAAGATTTGTATTGTTTTTTTGTTTATGTAACCATAAAACTATGACAATGGAAAAGTCACCAACAATGTCTACAAATAAGCAATTCTCTCTTAAGATTAACCATGAATAATTTATGGTATTTGGATCTGGGTTTGATGTAGATAATATTTAATTATATTAATGTCACTATAATTTACACAATCTGCATGCGTTGAGCGTTGGTGCATACATTTTTATTACTGAGTTTCTGTGTTTGGACAGGAAATACATTTTGTTTTTTGGCTGTGGATTTGACAAACGTGATCAATGTAATTTCACAAGTACTAATTTATGTCTTGTTTGTTCCATGACATATTTCACCTCAAACAATTACTCACATAAATGGACCAATCAGATAAGAGGGATTTAAAAGACCGCCATTTTACACATCAAGTTAGTCATCAATGGAAAATCTTTCTCCAGCACTGTTTTGTTGCAGACGTGTATTTGAGCCAGTTATTTGTTGTTATTTTGAGTCTTCGGGAGGTGCTGAACAAACTGTGTTCATTTTGAGGAGCAGAAAGAACACGAACTTTGTCTTTCACCCAAAAACAGCAAGCAAACTACTGTCCAAAAGCTGTGCTAAGTTGACATTAGCATTAACATAAGCTACCTAATGTCAGTGGAGTGGTGTCTCATGTGCTGAAAATGGGTGGAAAATGGTTTAAATTTCCTTCTCTGAATCTGTTTCCATCTATGCCCAAGCTACACTCAATTTACTCTGAGATTTCTGACTTTATTTGAGTTTATTGTGAATGTATGTAGAGTCTGTGTATTAAATAAAATGAAACTTAATGACAGCTAGCCAACTAACCTGTTTTTGTCTGCAAAGGATTTGCATCCCAAAATCATTACTAGCTTAGCCAATCAACATAATTTGCTCTAGCTTCAATATAGAAGCAGTGGTAGAGTACAACTGTGTATTGTTGATTGGCTTTAAAAAATGCATTTTCCCCTTTGTTTTTGTTGGTTTGACTTCTACAGGTTTAATTTGCCCCACAATAAAGTTGTCACTTCCTTTCAGTTCAAGGAAGCATCTGTTCAATTTTCAGACATTTCTCATTATATGCTCAGATGTAAGTAAAGACCTTTCCCAGCTAGCATTTTTAATGTGGCATTTAGATGAAGCCCACATACCTCATGGAATGATGGCACATAAGTGGGCCAGATGTGGTTGCCCGAAAGCAGCCTGTTACTGCCATTACGGGGCCACATCTCAGCCACCTTTAAACCACCACTGCCAAAACTGACACACCACTCAAAATCATAGTACAAAAACCAGGTCATTACAAAAACTACTCTGTTGGGTGGGAATGTCGCAGGGTGCCATGTAGCTAAGGGAGAGATGGTGTTTAACACTCTTGGACTACTAGCTGTAGATGGCTAAACTGTTGATGAGTTTTAAACTAATGATTTCTGGATAAAGGAGCAAATGCTTTAGTCCACTGGACTTCACAGGTACTAACATGTCCAAAATGTTTACTACACTATGAAAATGATTTGTTTAATTTAAAATAAGTGACATGCCTCACAGAAAAGTTCAGTGAACCTCAGATCAGTTTTGTCGTTTAATGAACACAAAATTTTAAGCAGCCTCAGATCATTGTAAACTAAATCTGAATTAAACTGCAAACTAGGATATTGTGGTTGTGTTCCTAGTACTGAGGCAGATTGTGTTGAATTAATTAAAATTAGCATTTTAATCTGGCATTTCTCTTTGTTGAAATAACAAATAAAATATCACAAAAGCTAAAACATTTTGGGTTGGAGTTTTACAGTGTACTGTGCCATATATGGCCAAGATCTGAATGTAAACTATGCTCCCCCACAGTCCTGCTAATCCCTGTTTAAAATATAAATGATTATCATGTAGCTCATATCAGCCCTGGTAAAGTTTGCCAGAAGTGGCCCAGATCTGTTTTTAATATTTTAATTTTATATGTGTGCCACTTTTAGCTCACACACAGTTAGCCAGTTATCCCACGTCCGCATGCCATTTGGGTTTAATGATAATGTTTTAATGATAAACATGTATTTTTATTCTAACTAGGCTAAGACCTGCTCTGTGGTGGGCCTGTGGGGGTCCTGACCTTTGAAGAACAGTGTAAAAAGGAGATAATTATTCCCCGAATCAGATGGACTGCAGTCTGTAATTGTAGAACTATAACGTGCCCCTATATGATAAGTGGACCTGATAAAATAGATACAAGGACACTAAAGACATTTTGGTTCAAGATCAAAAGGTGAATATGAGACAACTGAACAAAATTTCAGCTTTTATTTTCTGATATTTAGATCTAAATGTCTTAACTTAGAACATGGCATATTTTGTTTAAACTTACCCATTTTTCAAGTGAGTGAAAATATTGTAATGACAGATGTTTTTGTTGCCCAAATGTGCCCTTTTAGATTGATAACTATTAATAGCTCTGAATGTCTACTCTTGTTTTGAGCCCTGGATTTTGCTTGCATTTGCTGTTATAAACAACAAACCAACATGAAGACCAGAGAGCTGTAAATGGAAGAAAAGCAGGCCACCATTTTGGAGCTGTGAAAAGAGGGAAATCAGTCAGAGCCATTGTACAATCATTGGACACAGGTAATACAACAATTTGGAATTTCTTAAAAAGCAACCTCTGGACTACTAACAACCAGACATCGAACTAATTGGCCAAGAAAAACAACAGCGGCTGATCAAAGAAAGATTATTAGAGTTGTGAAAAAAAAACTCAAAAACAAGTCAGTGACATCACCAACCTCCACAGGGCAGTGGTGAAGGTATCACAATTCATCGATAGAAGAAGACTTAGAAAACAGAAATTTATAGAGAAGAACGCAGCAGTTTGGTGATGTCAGTGGGTCGCTGGTTTGATGCAGTTATTCCAAGCAAGGGATATGCAACCAAATATTAAGTGTAATTTATTTCAATTTAATCAAACTGATCTGTTCCTATACTTTCGCTCATCTAAAAAGTGGCTAGTCTGCCACCGAAGGTGCCATGTTCTAAGTTCTTTAACACAACTAGAGTAAATATCAGGAAATAACAGCTGAAATTCTAAATCATCGTCTCATATTCATCTTTTAATCTCTAACCGAAATGTCTTCAGTGCAGAGCAAAAACAAAAGAATTGGCCTTGCCGTTCCAATATTTTCAAAGAATATATATATATATATATATCCTTTGAAAATATACTGTATATATATTGTAGTGAACACCACCGTCTGGTTGAGCCAAAATCACCCTGTTTAGAAGAACTCTCCACATGACCCGAACTAAAAACTTTGGCTCCGCAAAGTCTGAGGTAGAAGCCATAAAACAGGATTAAGTTGCCATCAAGTTTTACAGCTTAAAAGGACGGTGCCTTGGGAATCTGGACACTGTGGGAGGTTAGCAACCCCCCTTTGCTCCATATGGCATACCAGGCAGCTATAAATCCTTGCCTGGAATCCAACTACAGGCCTCACCAAACGTTTAACTAAACTTGTGAATTACAAGAAATCAAGTTTCTAAAGTGTGCACCAATACAGAATTGCCACCATTCAACGGGGTACATTTCAAGAAGTCTGGAGACACCAAGAACAAGGTTGTTACGAGAATCTATAACAAAGTTAGCCTTTTTAGATTTTTTTTAGACCACAACAGCTCCAAGTGGTGAGAATGAGGCACAACACACCACCACCATAAGGACATGTGCTTATAAAGAGCCCAAGAAAACTTGTTGCATTGTCTGCTTGATTATCAACATTTATATAATCTGTAAGCACTATTACTTGTTTTATTAATCTTATTATGTGTATTACCTAAATATTACCTTATCTTTTTCTACTATTAAGTGCTAGGACTACGCAGTGTATAACTTTGATAACAGAGACAACCATTTCATTGTAATGAGTTTAGACCATTGACCAATATGTATCCTGAATGTGGTTTTCTTTTCTTTTCTTTCTTGTGTTCCTTTTCTTTTGTTGTCGGTTTTATTTCTTCATATATTAGGTCATATTCAGCTATTACAGGCAAATATTACCTGTGTTCTTTAACATGTGTTGTGTATCAGGTAGCAAGGGTTAAACTCTCTCTTAGAAACATACCTGAATATCCTAGTTGTTCATTCCTTGATTTTGGAAGTTAAACCAATTTGATGATATAAGAATAATGTTTCTTTTCCTTTGTTTAAAATTAACTGAAACAAAGAAGGCAGTGATTCTGGGAAAGGCATTCCTAAAATTATGCACAACCAATCAGAGTTTGAAACAATGAATAGCTAGTTAACCTTAGGTGAGGAGAACCTATCAGCACTCTGGCTCCACCTCCAAAGGGTAGGGCCTACAGTCGAGCAAAACCAGAATGCACCGCAAATTTCGGGAGTTCTGCGTTCTCAAGAAGAAGATAGCTAAATTTCTAAGTTTGTGCCGGCCTTGGTCAGAAAGACAGGTCAGAAGTTTTAGAATGCTAACATTTCAGATCTGAAACCTTTATTTGTTTTCGTAACTTGTCTGTTCATCTACACACCTTAAGTTTAAACCACCCTTAGAGAAGGAAGGTGGATGGCTCTCGTCTGGCCAGGAGAAGTCGTTCATGTTATCAACTCTGCTAAAGGTAGTTAGTTAGTTAAATTAGTATCACCAGCCTCAGAACCCTGATTGCAGTCTAAACCTAACCAGCAGAGTGGGAGCAGTTCTGACGCCACGGAGACCTGGCATCGCACCCAGAGCCACGCACTGATCTGTGAGCAGACTGACCATCGAAAGGCTGCCCAAGCTCCACCCTCAAACGGCCACAAGACGCTCCCACCCAATCACTGACGGAAAGGCGCATGCCCGCACGGAGACGCAGCATCCACGACCAGTGAGGAGAGGAACCAATGTGTGAGCTCCAGCCTTCGATCGAGCCGGTCCTGAGACGACCCCTCCTGAAATCAGCCCCCGACTCCCACATAAGCTGGTTCCATCAATTTGCAGTCAGGGCCCTGACGCCAATTTATTTAATAAGAGAACTTTTATAGGTACATCCAGCCATATAGTTATTCCTGTCCATACTTAGATTAATCCTCTAGAGGCTCTTTCATGTCTAAGTTTCGAGCGACTTCCCAAGAACCACACTGCCTCATACCATTTAACTGTGAATCACTTTACCCTAGCTATTTTGTCCTTTTGACTTTTTTTTGTTGTTTGTTTGTTGTTTTGTTTTGTTTTATTTTCTGTTGTTTATCATTAAATGTAGTGCAAAAGTAGTTGATATTTAGCCAATAAATTCCCTTTTCTGAGGCATCCTTGGTGCGAACGTTTCTCTCTCTTACCCTGGTCTGTAGACAAATAAATCCGGGTTACCTCACACCCTTATCTAAGGTTCTAGCAATAATAACATTAAAATTGCAAAACCCGTTACATTGCATATTCCTTAGAACAAGCAAAACTATAATTTCACTTAATAAAATAACTTAAAACAACTAAAAATGTATACAGATAGTTAAAGAACCTTATAACAACTTGTATTGAATATACATTTTTTATTTTAAAATGAAATTCATGATGATTCTAAATATTCATATTCATAAACATTTTATAAAATACAAAAAATGTTTCACAAGTTGAAACTTAGGGGTTAGAGTTTGGTACATCACTCTCAACAGAAATAAATAAATACAAAATCATCGTCCCAATAAATGATGATTTTTTATGTATATAGCTTAGTACCATCTCAATTAATGCATTGGGTTTAAATAGATCATAACAATCATTGTAAATATTTGAGGTCTGGATACTTAATTTTTTAAAATAGTGTTTTACTGTGTGACAGCAGTTTAAAATAATTCTGTAGAATTGTTCATATAACAAGTGCTAGTATATCATAACCACATACTCAGCTGTCACTGTGTCTTAAGATGTCTTAAGATGTCTTGACAGTATTTATAAGATGTCTTGAGACATTTTTTTATGCCAAGACGTCTCAAGAACGTATTAAGACGTATGAGTGAAGACACTGTCTTTGTCTTGAGACATGAAAGTTAACGTCTTAAGACAAAGAAGTATTTATTTTGTGTGTCTTGAAGACGAGGCATGACTTAAGACATCACTTTGTCTTAAGACATAGAGATGTTGTGTCTTAAGAAAGATCAGTTGAGACCAAAGAGTAGTCCATTACAAAAGGTCCTGTGGTATGAGTGTGGTATTCCTGTGGTACTGCCAAACTGAAAATTACTACTGAGGATTACCACAGCACTGCCTAATGTACAATATAATGAGAATATAACTATATAAGAGAGAATATAAGTATGTCCTCAAGAAACAGCCTGCTGTAATCTTATGTTTTTTTGTGTGATATTACTAAAAGAACATTCACTAAGGTTTACTTGCTGTACTTTTGTGATTCTTTTTTTTTTTTGTATGTTTTGTTTTTTGATTGTTGCAGAAATGTGTTTGCAAAATAGCAAAAGAAAAAATCAATTCCTAAACCATTTACCTTACCTTAAAATGTTTAAACTCATTTCCTTATATCATTGAAGTTCATGGTAGAATAACTTTTAATTTGTAACATTTACCAAAGGAGATAATCACAGTCAGTCACAGCCTTTTGCTCATTTGCAGAAAACATGCTATGATTAAAACAACATTGATCTATTTTCAAATGTACAACTGTAACCAGAGACATCAAGCTAGGAACCAAGATAAAACAACTTTGAGCTAATAGGAAGTAAATGTACTTAACAGCTAACCTGAGTACTTTAGAGATCACATACCACCAAAACTTAATGCAAAAAAAGCACTTGGTTCACTCTCTTCAACATCTACACTTTTGTTTATTTTCTTAAGCAGATCAGGGCTGCCCAAAGTTAGACTTTTAATTTGTATAACTTTCAAAATTATTATCTCCAGTATTTGGAAAACACGAACAATAATAAACAAAAGTATTTGAGTAGTAATATATAAAGACCTGTATTGTTTCACCACGTAAAATTACATAATAAACAGATTTTTGTTTAAATGTCCAACTTCATACTTTGACTTTAATATATTAAGACATGGCCTCCAGTGATGCTGTATGATAATGCTGCACAGCTGTCTTATGTATTTGAAGGGTTTGCAGTTTTCTACTCTGTGTCTAGATTAAAAAAACAAACAAACAAAAACAAAGTAGCACAGTTCATTCAGTACAGCAGAGCCGTGCGAACGAGAAAAAAAAAAGATCTATGGGAGGACAAACAAAAGACTGGCGGGAGTTTAGACCAATCAGAGCGCGGGACTCCGCCTCTTGGACGTTCGGTTTTGAAGCGCGAGCGCTCTCCGCCGTTCCTCCGTTTAAAGCCAAACGCGGCCGTTACAGCCGTTACAGTGAGCGGGTCTCTCAGGTCGCTACCGCGGGCAGTTTATCGAGTTTGTTTAGCGAGTGTTAAACCTGATAAGACTCTCTTACACTCCTTACTAAGACAGCGCCGCCTGCCGGGTGACGCATTCAGCTCCCAGAAACGAGGAGTTTCAGCTGCGTAGCTGACTAACGATAACTACTGACTGGACCGAGTGGAGTGGAGACTGGTTTTACGACTGGAGTCCCGACTGCAGCGGTCAGAGTCTGCTTTTAAAAGGTGAGTGGTGACAAAATGAGATGAGCAGCCTCACTGACAGTCAGCTGGAGTAAACTTTTGTTTCTGTATTTCTGGGTTGATCTGCCGAGTGAAGACACCAGCGGTAGGTTAGCGTATGTCGTTAGCTAGCTAGCGGCTAAGCGGCGCGGCTGCGTCAGATCTCGCTTAGCACGCGCTCCAAATGAAAGACTGCCTCAGAAATAAACGTAAGACTGAACACAGTGCAGCAGGGTCAGCGCACTGATCACAGAGCAGCAGGGTCAGCACACTGAACAATACAACAATGAAACTGAACACAGTCCGTCAGTCTGTGTGGTTCAGAGAGGGTAGTAATAATTTTAATTTGCTCAGTTACATTTACTCTAGTAACGTCTTGGTGGATTTGTACTTTCTAGAGTATTTTTAAAATGTATTATCTGTGCTTTAGATTAATAATCTATGTTTTACTCGGCTACATTTATTAGTAATATATAATGACCAGTTTGTTTTGTGTTTTTCATTGTTATGCCTTACTGTTGTTGTTTTGCTGCATTTACCTCATGTGTCTGTTTTGTTTTAGATGTTTCTCATCAGAAATCATCTGAAGCTGAGCAACTGGTGAGACTCAAGTTTTAATTTTTTAAATGAAACTATAAGAATGTCAGACAGATGTTTAGATTTTGTGGGTATTTCAAACAAATATAATTCATGAAGTATTTATTGTAATACAGAAGAGCAGAATGTTTAGGTAAAGCTGGGTTACAGTATTCAAATATCTGCACTTTATTCATTCAATTTATTAATATGTTATTTGCCATTACAGCTGTGTTCAAAATATCGATATGGCAATATCACCAACACTGTGTCAATATTTATGAATTTACTTCTTCACAGTGCTTTAACGTGTAATACTGCAAGTCTCAGAGCCCTACAATTTATAGCATAAAGCATGTGGTAAACATGATCTAATAGAGTTCAGCTCTTATTAATAATCATTTCATGTAATAATTCTCTGTGAGAGAGATTAGAGGCATTGAACTCTTCAAACGCCTGGTTCTTGTCACTGCCACTGTGAACAACTCTGACTCTGTAAGTTTTTCCACAGTGGAACATTTTGTATCAAACTATTTTTTTGCATCTTAATGATGAAATTGTGCTTAAAAATCATGTAATTCTCCTTTAACACAGCTTTTAACAGATACAGATATCAGTACTAAGCTCACACCTGCCTCAATAGCAAATGATCATTTCTGTTACGTGTTGACTGAGGCATGTTAGAGGATGAAAACAATAGAATTGTGAATTATCTAATCAACTTTGTTGTTTTCAATCCTTCCCAAGGAACATTCTCTCTTTGGGCCTCATCCAGTATGGTGGCAGTCCATATCATTTTCAACACTCAACTGTGCTCTTACACAAGTGGCATCATCCTGATGCTTCTTTCATTACACTGAACATCATTGTCTGAACATCAGCTATGCGTGTGAGCTGGGTGCCACACTGAGTTCATGCATAGGTATTATTTAAAGCCTTGTCACATTTCTTTGTGTACTAAATGCCTGAGTTGATTTTAGATGAGTAAAATTATGTATACTGTACATTATATTCTACTTATAAAGGGAATATATAATGCTTTTCCTTTTATTTACTGTGTTATGTAGCTTTTTGTGCATGTAAGATACAAAGCTGAAAGTATATGCCAGAGGGAGAAACTCTTTCCCACAGAAACCACTTTTCTCAGCTGCCTGAGGCCTGGAGTTCCCCAGCCCTTTTCCTTTGTTACAAGATGATGTAATCCCATAACACAATCCTTATTGCCCACCTACCAGCGAGCTTTGCACGCCCTCACACAACGCAACGCATCTACCGGAGCCCGTGTATTGGCGGAACCACTCTGGTGCTTGATCAGTCAGAGCCAAGTGAGCGAGCTAACTAATCTGAGCATACTGGGCTCATCAGGAAGGAGAGGCTTAAAGACACTGGAGCTCTAACAGAGCGTTTCAGACAGAGGGTGAGTAAACAATTACAGTATGACAAAAATAATGTGTTTCTGGAACACTGAAGCATGTAAATGTATTATAGTCGACCCCAAAAATAAATTTATGAACACTGGAAATTAGCATAACAGGTCCCCTTTAAATTCAGCCTGCTTGTGTATGCAGATCCAAAAGTAATTTCAAATTTATTGTCTTAAAATTGATTTTTTAACAGATGCATTTTCCTCATATCTCTGACAAAGAAGACCAACACTGAGAAAAAACAGAGGAAGAAGCGATGGGCTGTGAATCTGACAGTTCTCTCACTCATCACGGATTTAACTCTAAAAGGAGAGATCGGTAACATTAGCAGTGCGATATCAGTAATGTTAGTGTTCAGGCATTACAGCATGGACATATGCACACTAAGTTATCTGTGTCCTGTTTCCTGTGTCCACATATGTCCACAGCTTGACTCTATTCCAGCTACCAGCACATCTGAGTCTGATATTAATTGTTTGACAGCTGATCATTATCTGGCTCAGGTATGTTATGAGTACTGCTGGGGTTCAGACCTCTGTATTACTCTGTTGGTCAGTTTTTCTTTTTAGTCCATATTAATTTGTCTTAAAATTGTTTCCTATCATTTATAATTGTTCATAGTACTATATTATTAATAACCTCAGCATAACTTATATACGGAATAACAGCAGACCTTAAAATCAGATTCATTGGTTTGTGGAACTGTGTATTTATTGCAGTATATTTCAAATTTCTACACAAAGTCAGTTAACATGTTTTTCTCTGTCTGTAGAACATATCAAATGTGATGACGCTATTGTACTATGCATATACACAGTTGTAAAAACAATAAACAATAACTGTAATTATATTTTTTGAAAGCTATGTGGGTGCTTTTTCATGGGCTATGCTTTGGATTGCAGAGTAAATTATTTGAATGTAGAAGTATTCTGAACTTTTAACAGATTAACAAGGAAATACAAAACTGTGAAATAGTGATTTTCCATACCCCTTTAAATTACTTTACTGTAATTTATGCATACTTATTATTGTTCTTGTTCTCCTTATTATTATTATTTTAAAAGTTGATAAAATGATACCTTCATTAAAAAATGAAGCAACTGTAAAATAGTCTGAAAAAAATGTATTTAACACATTTTACCACATTTTTAAAACATTAAGTGTTAATTACTATAAAAAGGTATTTAAAAGCACTGAATTAAATTTTTAAATTTTGCTGCAACGCTGTATTACAAAATAGTTGCATAAGAGTCTTCCCTCATACTACCACCATGTTGAAGGCATGGTATGAACTCACAAATAAACTTTCATCATATCACTGATTCCATAAACTTTTCTAATGCAACAGAAACATTTAAAGGAGAATTCCACATTTTTCTAAACTTGGCATAATTCTGTCATTGCGATGTAAACAAAATCATTTAGTGGTTTCATATAAAATGGCTTATTGTAGAGAAAGCTACAGACTGGGAACCATGTGCCTATTATTATTATTATTACTTTTGTTGTTAAATTTGTTCTGAAATGTATAAATGTAGTATGTACTGTATGCAATGTTTGTATGTTTATAAAATGATATGCAATATATTAAAATAAATGATACCATTATGCATCCTACATAGAACAAAAAAATGACAAAAAAAAAATTACTATAATTTTAGCTATAAATAATGTTACATTTTAAAATTCCCTTATTTAAAAGTAAAAGATTTATTTAAAAAAATGTAGGTAAAATTTAAAAATACATATTATACATCCTACATCTTGAGACGTCTTGAGATGTTATTATTGCCAAGACATCTTAAGATCCGTGTCTATAGACACGTCTTAAAGACATGTCTTCATGTCTTAAGACATGCCTCAAGATGTCCTAAGACGTCTTCAAAACGTGTCTTTAGACATGTCTTAAGACATCTCAAGACATGGTGATGGCTGGGTATGCAGTCATTCACAAAACGTTCAGATTATCTGACCAGTTCTCCAAGAAAACTGAACTAAATCACTGTAGCCTAAAAAAAGTTACTGGCCTTAGTGTCATATAATAAGTAAGGACTGCTTTTGATGTCTCCTGGTTGCAGCTTTTAATGACATTCAAGGTGGCGATGCACAACTGAATCAGCTGACTCAGCAAAGGAGTAAAAAAGTACAGAAAATCTGTACATTAGTGAAAATATGAGTAATGACTCCAAAAGTATAGAGCCAAAAATATACTTGAGTGTAAAATTAAAGACGCTCAAGTACAGAAGTGAAAATGTAATGTTTTAATAAACAAATAGAAAGTTTTCTTTTTTGATTGGGTGTGATATGGATATGCAATGAGTAAATGATGGTATTAGTCTTCACACAGAGACAAATTATCATAGTTTTGTGCAGCTTCATTTTATGCTGATATGAATTTTGGTTGGATTTTTAAATTAAATATTTAGACGACTGATTTGACAGATCACTGGCGCAAGAAAAAAGAGAAAAAAATCTCCTGGCCATGAAATGCGCACTTTGTACTCTGAAGGTCTAAATGAAAATGTAATGTTTTCTTTCTCAAGGAAATGTAATTGAGCAAAAGTACAATGTTTCCCTGTCAGCCATGCTTGCATTAAGTACAAATCTTCCAAAGCAATATTTAACCACAATACTCAAGTACAGATGCTTAAGTATTTTCCAGCATGACAAAGGACAATGTGACAATAATTTGAACAACAAAAAGCGGAGTTAGAACATAATCAACTCATCTATGAAAACAGGTAGTAAAAAGGTAGTAGTAAATAAATGAAAGAGAGATTAAAGACAGCAGCAAGGGGCAGCAGTGGTTCAGCTCCACAGCAAGAAGCAGAAAATGATGAAGCAGCTGGTTACCAGATATAATCTGCAGGTGAAGAATGCAGATCACTTAAAGGTTGTTTTGAACTGTCATTTTTCTGAACACTGCTGTGTGGTGTTCCACTGAGCGGGTAACTCCAAACCATTCCTGAGATACTTCACGACCCCTCTATCTCCCCGACAACCTCAGCTTCAGCATGGAAGTTCTGCAGGACAGTAATAGAGATTATTCTGATTCAAATGGCTCTCATTTCTGACAGACCGTAATAGAGCAGATCACTTTTTCATGAATTCACATGACTTTATGTAGTTTATTTTAATGTTGTATCTATAATTTATAGGTATAACAGAGCTGGAAGTGGTTTGTTTTATCTGATGTGTGCACACCATACAGTATAAATCTATTACTCTGATTACATTTTTATCATAATAAATAACAATATTTTACATTTATGTAGTGCCTTTCACAATCCTAATGTCGCTTTACATAACAAACAGTAACACACACACACAAAAAAAAACTATGACTAAGCTTTAAAGGAGGAAAAGAAATGCTCATGAAAAAGAAAAGTCTTTAAATCACACTGAAGGCCCTCCCTCCCAAAGTGGAAAGTCTGGTGTGGGAGACAACAAGTGAGTTATTACAAGAAGACCTGAGAGAGTGAAAGGGAGTGTAAGAGATCAGGAGTTCTCTGAGGTAGAGGGGAGCAAGGTTATGCCGAGCTTTGAAAGTGAGTAGTAAAATTTTAAACTTACAGGACAGGACCGGTAGCCAGTGAAGAGAGAGTTGATGGGGTGGTGTAAGCTGAACACTTAGTATGCGTGAGAACTCTTGCTGCAGAGTTCTGAATGTACTGTAGCTTTTGTATAGACTTTACAGGGAGACCAACGAAGAGGGAGTTACCATAGTCAATACAGGACATAATGAGGGCATGGACCAAAATTTGTGCATCATTATCAGTCAGGAATGGGCGAGGACGAGCAATGTTACGTAAGTGAAAGAATACAGTCTTTTTGTGGAACTTAATATGTAGATCAAATTTCAGTGATGGGTCAAGTAAAACACCAAGATTTATGACAATAGCTGCAGGCTTAACAAGCAAACCATCAATACTAACAGAAAAATTTGATAATTTTATAATAATAAGGATTTAGGGCCAACCAGTAAAACTTCAGGTTTATTAGTGTTTAGCATGAGAAAGTTATTGTACATCCAAAGCTTTATACCAGAAATACAATTGGTTAGTGTATTGGCAGAGGAGTCTGAGGGGAGGGGGGGTGTACTGAGATGTAACTGAATATCAACAATATAGCAGTGAAGGTTAAGGTCATTACTATGAATGATTTGGCCAAGGGGTGAGATGTAGATTAGGAAAAGAAGGGGTCCAAGAACTGAGCCCTGAGGGACACCACATTGACAGGTGAGGTGGAGACTTAGTGTAATAAACTGCTGTTTGTTTGTAAGATATGACCTGAACCACTGTAAGGCTGTAACAGAGATACTAATAGAAAAAAAAGATTAAAAATAAGAACATCATGATTAACAGTACTGAATGCTACACAAAGAGAAGGAGAATACTGAGAGAACCACAATCAGCAGACCAGAGAAGATAATTAACCGCATGCAGAGGAGCTGTCTCAGTGCTGTGGTGTGTACAGAAACCAAATTGAAATGACTCACATAGTGCATTATCTCTGAGAAAGGTCTGGAGTTGTGAATCAACCATTCTTTAGCTAAAAAGGGAAGGTGTGAAATGGGTCTGTAATTGGAAAGAGAAGTTGGATCCAATTCAGGTTTGATAAGTATAGGAGTGACTGCATTTTTAAGGGCAGTAGGAACAAAACCAGAAGAGTGACATGAATTTGTCACTGTGGCAATTGGAGTGTTGATTACAGATGAACAGGCCTTGAGTAGAGAGGTGGGGGCAGGGTCAAGCTGACAGGAGGAAGTATTAGACTTAAGTTCAGTGAGAGAAAAGGAGTCAACAGGTGTGAAACAAGTTAGTTTTGTGCCCAGAGCGGGAAAATTGGTAGAGGTAAGTGACTGAGAAGTAGAAGGAAAGAAACGATAGATTTAATTAATGTGTGACCACAGCACACTGTCCTATCCCATGATTCCACTAGAGCAGAAAAGCTGTTCAAAGTGGAGGAATGTCATTTCACAACGGCTGAGTGGAGCAAACAGGTCTGTACAAGTGTGAGTAACGTTAGTTAAACACATGTTTTTAAAGAATAACACCAAATACGAGAGATTTATGTTGAACTACCAACCTATTGTATCTGTCATTTACAGTTTTGATGTACATAATGCATTTTTTACAAGTTACCAGTGTTTATGTTGAGGTATGATAAGTAAGTTAATTTAAATTCTGATGCTGGCTTGCAATCCACCTGTAAATGACTCCTTTATCAATGTAAATGTGGTTAATGTTAACGGTATGAGGTGTATATGTTGTTTTCTGACAGTAGTTTTATGTTTCAGTAACTGTTAGCACACAGTTAACGTTAGCACTGTGTAAGCAGATGGTCTGTGCATAAAAGTGAAAACCGAGAAGTTTTTCTGTGAACTAAGTTGACTGTTGTTGATTAATGGCTGAGGTAAATAAAAAGCGAGGTGGTCTATGGCTGGCAGTGTGAACGAGCTGTGCCAGTTTCAATTAGTGTTAACTAATAGCTGGCTCCCAATAAGTATGTGAACTTCTCTCAAGAAATGCTGCTGATAAGAGAATAGCTAGTGAGGCCTTGTTAACCAGGGGAAAACACAGTAATCAGAGGATTTTGATCAATATTAAAAGCCAGAATCTGCTTTAAATTTAAAAGCTATGGTGCTGATGGCCTTTTCCTAATTCCACCAACACAGACGATTTAAATGATATTGTCTGTGACAAGCTTTAAGACCAAGACTTATTTTATCCTAAAATTAATTTTGTCATAATCTAGGTCTCATGAGGATAAAACAGAAGGCAAGATACAGACACCAAATTTTACAGTGTAGTGTACATATAAGAAATAGAAAATAATACACAGTACTTTTTCTCACTGTTCATTTCTGCAAAATGTAGGATGAGCTCTAACTTTAATGACTACAACAAAACAGAAAATAGCATAGTGTCAGAATACCTGCTAAAGCTTGTTCTGCACACATTTGTCTGACAAGATGGCAATATCAAATCCTTCTAGATCTGGAGCCTGTCCACACATTTGAAAAAGGCTGGGATGCAATACCTTAATAAATGGTTCCACATGCAACAGAGACCAGGCAATCAACTTCCCTCCAGGATAATACTTTCCCTCATATAGGGCTGCCTGATTATCAAAAAGATAAGAAAAAAAAAGTTTCTTGGCTGGAGTTGTTTAACGTAGACTGTATGTCCTTCATTAAAAGCCTACTACAGAAATGAGAGGAACATTTTAAATATAGTAAAAAAAATGAACTCAACAAAGAAACATGAAATTGGGTCATCTTGTAAGAAAAATGCCAAAGTATATTCTGTCTATCTAACTGTCATCAATGTTTGCCCCATAGTTTACTTGAGCAAAACTGAGCAAACAGCACTGTCAGAACCAAGAAGATTGTTCATAAAAGGGCAATGAAGCACCGATCAAGGTCAGGTCAAAATAAATAGCTAATTTTACACTCCTCCACAGAACAGCAGAATTAATTTTATTTTTACAAAAACTGAGAGAATGATGCACAATTGTGGCTTTTCCTCATGTGTCTCCCATGTTATTTGGTAAAATCCAACTGGGATCTTTTTGGCAATGGCTTGTTTTCATAAAGCCCAACTTTGAGGAGCTGGGTTTCATGAAAATAAGTCATTGCCAAAAAAGCCCCAGTTTCTCTGTACAGTTTTGCTGTAGAGCCACATATCTACAAAAGTCAGTGACCACACTTCTGTTCATTCAATTTCCAGTCAAAATGGCCATGAAGTTATTAATTAACACCATAAAAAAACAGGATTTACTGTGTCTTTCTCTGTGGGCTTCTGGACAGCTACACATCCTTTCAGACCCAAAGCATTGTGTTGTCTTCTCACAGTGGAAGGATGGACAAAAACACCTGTGGATTTTTTCAGATCTGAAGTAAGATTGGAGTTTGATTTTCTCCTTTCTTTCAAAGATAAAAGTTTTAAGTACTCTTTATCTCATTGGGGACAGGGGTTTTGTTGGTTGTTAGGGGAGACCCATTGTAGTCCCATTTTTTCTGTGTCTTTTATTAAATTTTTAACTCCGTTTTCTTATACCTATAACCTATCACTTTATACCTCATGAAATTATTATAACATTACAATTTGATTCAAGTAACAATCACAAATAAAGGAAGACTTTTTCAATCACAATTTTCCACTCCTGCTCCACCTAATTAACTTTTTCAGAAGTTGCTGATTGGCTGGTTTAGGTATTTTAGTGTTAGGTAAGTGGAGGGGCAGCATGTGAAATGCAGGTTGGAGCTAAACTCTTCAGGAAAGTAGCTCTCCAGGATCAGGTTTGGAAACCATTAACTCTAATGATATCTTCAGACTTTTCCATTCCCTTTAAAAAAGAAAAAATAATAGCAAACATATAGAATATTACAATGTTACTTTAATTTTTCCACTTCTTATCCTAGCATACAATCATACATTAAGTATATAGCATCATTTTTCACTCACATCAGATGGACTATAGGGGCATTTTGGAGAGAACATCTGGGTGTTCTCATCTGGTTCACTGTCAGGTAATATGCTACTATATTTACATAAAAGAACAAAGAACAAAAATATATGTTGCTACATGTGCAGCTACATCAATTTACAAACAAGGTGGTCCAAAAAAACATGGTGCTCATCTTACAGTTTTGCAGAAACATTTCAACTGTGATTCAATTAGACAGCCACAGCATCAGCTGGAGACAGAAGTCTTCTCACATTGCTCTGTGGATGACTACCATTGTTTATTTTTCCTCGGAAACAGGGAGCTCTCTAAAGAAAGATGAGTGAAATGAATTCACATCATGCAAGCATGACTGATCAAAGTCTTACCACCTTTATTTATTATTATTTTAGCATCACTGTGAATCTGGCCCACTGTCTTTATGAACAGTACTTTTTGCATGGTGCCCGAATCATTGTGGCCATAATCTATGTAAATTGAATGATATGTTCTACCGTGTTTTCACACATGATTCACAAATAAAAACTGCTACATCGGTAATGCACAGAAAGTCATGAACGTGTAGAGCACGGCCTGTTGTGTCAACCAGTACCAGATTCACACCATCGCGCTGACTTTGATATGCTAATCTCTGGAGGCTTACTTCTTATTGGCATTTCCGTTCCACCTTAAATAGCGAGTGTCTGGATCTAACTGCCACATCATTTAAGGTGAAACGAAAAATAAGAACCTAACTTAATCTAGTCTCTGTCCACTGTACGAGATTCAGTTACAGTTAGCAAACCAGGGCTGTAACACTTGAAGTGGTGACGCTGTTTTACCCCCTCAGATACTACAGATATAGCCTACACTTGGAAGTAGCATTTATAGTTTGAGCGTTCTTGTGCTAATATAGGTGAGTTTATACATTTACTCAGTTATACATTACCCAACAGGGAATTCTCCCAACCCTCCTGACTACCCACTCCGGAACTGGAGAAGAGCCACAACTGAAAGGCGCGGGAGAGACGGGATCTTCGGATTTTGATTTGATATTGTGTGTTCAGTTGGTGAAATACGACAGAAGATCAATCAGAATCTCACCGCAGTGCGGCAGCAATGTGGAATATAACGTGTGTTATTAATTACAAAAACTGGAGAACAGTGAACACCCATCCATCTAAAGCTGGGCTCTACAGCTTGAAAAAGATAAGATTAAACCCTGAATTTGTAGTAACAAGAGAACAGTTCACTGACTGGCCTTCCTCTTCCTCGGATGAGGCGTGTTTTGGGAAAGGTGTGCTGAAGGGGGAGGATTTTATCACAAACTTCCTGATTTCACTTTTGATTTCGACACTCTTGGGCAGCTTATAAGAAATGGCGTCGAGCGTCGGTAAGAATCCAATTCCTATAAAACTAAATTAATCAGACATCATGCAGAATATTCGATTCAGATCACCTTAAATTCCCGTTTAGTGATAAGGTGTGGAAATAAGAGACAGTCTACAAAGTTAGAGCAGCGACAGACCTTGTAGCACAAGCAAATGTGAAACAGTCGCTCGTGTATAAAGCACACATTTCTGGCCGCACAGATGACAGTTTGAATAGTAGTTATAGGTGATTACAATGTAAGAATGAAAAAAAAAACTACAGGCACGTACAGAGAGATTATTCTTTAGTTTTTTTTGTTTTTTTTTTTACGATTGCAGCAGTTTAGCCCCCATCCCATTCATGCTTAAAAGAAGCATTTCATTCTGGCCTGTTATCTGAATGAGGCACAGTGCACAGCAGCCAATCAGAACACACTCTACATTACATAAGTCAGTCTTAAAGGCACAGTAACAAACACACAGCGTGTTTAATTCCAAGGGGTAAAGAGTTAAAATTAATACTAGCAGCAGGATATGTAACAAAGCTACATAGATAAAACAAAATGAATTCATTCATTTAAAAACATCATAAAGGGGGACAAGTAGTATAATAAATATTTTTAATAAAGTGATATTAAAGGGGGTATAAAGGTAGGTCCTCAAAATTTACAATCAGTTGAAATATTTTTGCATTATTCTTTATCTTTATATTTTAGAGAGTAACAAGGAATTACATGTTCTTGTCCTTGAAGTGTATTTGTCAGCAATAATCAAAACAAGAACATACAGAATATATACAGAATATAAGTAAATAAGATAGATACGTACTGATACAAGTAAATGAATGAATCCATTTTAAAATATGAAAATAAATGTTCAAAAATGCGTAAACATAAAAAGACAACACTATATAATACATAAATACATATAACCAAATAACGAAATGTCTCTTTGGGGCCAAACAGTTAAGCAGTGCCTCCAGATATTTAGGGATTGTACAGGCTTATTACATTTAGATCAGTGAATATCGAGATACATCAGAGTTGATTCATCTTGAATACCATGTTCTTCCACTAGAGGGGAGTCATGGACTGTTAAGAGTTCAGATTTTTTGAAGCTTTAGATCTCTATTTGTGTGTGTAGTCTAACAGTATAACGTCGGTATGACACCGCTCATTCCGCCCCTTTGCTATTTGAGTGATGTGAAATGATAGCGGTTGCAGGTGGAGTGACGCAAAGTGTGTGTGCCATTTAAAATTGGTGCAAAAGTATTTTGAACACATTTTGGTCCAAAACTTACTATGTTACAAAACATACTCATTATGTTTATTATTATTATTATTATTATTGTTGTTGTTGTTGTTGTTCTTGTTCTTGTTGTTTGTAGTTTTATTGTTGTTCTTGTTAATAGGAAATATTATTAAAATGAATCATTTTATGAATAATTATTTTTAGTTTATTTCATATTTGTTATCATTTTATAAAGGTCATTGGAGACTTTAAAATATCACGTTTTTTAGCCTTAAAAAATAGAATTTTGTAGTTGTAGAAAGACTGTGGTCTTCACTAAATATTGGTAAAATATCACTGTGCAGTGCTGTCAGTGCATGCAGCTCCTAAAGAGAAATAGTGGAGTTGATAATAAAGCACTTTAATCATATAAGCGCTTTAATAATAATAATAATAATAATAATAATAATAATAATAATGATAGAATAGAAATCCTTTGCTGGGTGTGTCAGAGGTGTTACCCAATGAGCAGCGACGTGCATAAATAAACCCCGCTATATTAAAAAGGCAGTGCACACAATAGATTCTAATAAGATCCTCTGCAAATGCTGAAACTGTAGTTTGGTGTAGGCAACAAATCTAGGCATTAAAAGACATATTTGTCATAGTAAAATGGGGAGAAGTTCACCACTCTGTGAAAGACTGTGGACAGAAACAGAAAATAGAAAACTTGGGTATTTTATCATCTATGGTAGATAATATCATTAAAGGATCCAGAGAATCTGGAGAAATCTCTGTATGTAAGGGACAAGGCCAAAAAACAACACTGGAGAGCTGTGACCATCAGGTCCTCAGGCAGCACTGCATTAAAAACACCCATGATTCTGTAGTGGAAATCACTGCATGGGCTCAGGAACACTTCTGAAAACCACTGCCTGTGAACAGAGCTAGTCACTACATCTACAAATGCAAGTTAAAACTCTACCATGCAAAGAAGAAGAAGTGTAGGTGGTCGGGGATGGGAGCTGGAGCCTATCCCACCGCTCACAGGACAGACAATAAAAAATTACTTTACGTGGTAGCAAGTAAATTAACTAGTTTAATCCAACCCAAATTAATTAAGTGATCGATTCCTTGAATCAATGTATTTTTTTGAGTTGAATAAAGTAGTTCAGTTGTTTGTTACTACATAAAGTAATTTTTGGGTCGATCTGCTGACCACAGTGTAGAGGCTATATATATATATATATATATATATATATATATATATATATATATATATATATATTTAAAATGGGTAAATATTTTTAGAAAAACAATACTTCTCAAAAAACAACCACAATGTCTCAGTTTCAACACTTAAAAATAGGGTTTAAATGATTTGCACATCAATGCTTTCTGTTTTACATTTTGCAGTTTTCCTACTTTGGAAAGTTTGGAATGGGGTTGTACTATTTATTTATTATTTCCATTGTTATAAAACATATTACTGGAAATCGTTTCATGATGAATGATTTTATAATATTTTCTGATGTTTTATAAAAGAACTTTTTGATGTTTTAGAAAAAAACTCATACAAGACTTTAAAATATCAGACTCACCATTCTATCCATAAAATAAAGTATTGGAAAGTAACTGTAGGAAAGCAGTGGTCTTCCGCCATTAGGGAAATATTGTGCTGCTGTCAGTGGACATGCGGCTCTTAAAGGCAATGAGAGGGGTTGATCTGATTGGCTGTTGCCACCACGCCTTTTGATAATATATTCACGTTCACTCCACCCCTGTTTACAGTAACTCTGGGCTGTGTTAGAGCTTGCCTACACTGTAAACCCTAACGTTGAAATTCATTAACTGGATTGAGTAAAACTAACTTAAAATATATCAAAAAGTTACATTCAATTTAACAAATCAATTATCTCACCCGCTTCGAATGTTATCACTTCATTGAGTGGACGTAATCAGTAGCCAGTAGGCCCATCAGTGCTGACTTTAAAAGATGGAAAGGGCTACATTGCTCCATACATGACAGAATTTCTGTGGTGAAAATGAACATTGTTCCCCATGTTTCTTGTTTATTTTCATTGATCCCACTTTCTCCTCCACCCAGATGTTTCATTGAACTAGATAAGGTGTGTAGACAGTTTATTTGGAATGATAAAAAGCCAAGGAAACGTCTCTCCATCCTACAGCAGGATTAAACATCAGGAGGATTAGCTTTTCCTATTTTTACTTAAAATTATTTATTAGTTGGCACTGCTGAGAACATTGTTTGACTCTTCACTCTTTAAAAGAGATGGTTCTAGAAGGGTTATTTACTAAAGAAAATGATTCTACATAGAGCCATAAACACTCACAGAACCCTTTGCATGATTAAAGCAGATGGTTCTATATAGATTTTTTTTTTGAAAATGGTTCCACATAGCACCAAAAAGCATTTGTCTATTGCTACAAACCTGACATCACTTAAACTTACAGTAAAAGAAACCTTTTTGGTGCTATATAGAACCCTTTTCAAAAAGGTTCTAAATGCAACCATCCACAGCTCATTCTCCACCAATCTGAAGAACACTTTCATAATGCAAAGAACCCTTCAATCTTGCATAACTGGTAAAGTGACTGATAAAAAAGTAATCTAATAAGTCCAACGGTGCATACGGCACAGTAAGCACTCTTTGGACTCTTTGACTTGTTTACAATGTGATCTTATCTTTGAACTGCTGTAACTTGAACTTTATTCAGATAAGCAAGCTTAGATGTAGAACAGAAACTGGGGAAAATGAATAATAGCTGTTCCCTTCTACATCAAAACACTTTATTTTGGATATTGCTCATGCAAATATCTCTTAGGAAATGGACACTGCTGATGGTAAGTATTCTACAGTGTTGTTTGGCTCCCACTAGATATTTTTAATGCGTCATCCAGACAGTTCATGTTTTAGTCTTGGTGACTGGGATATCACAAGCTTGCTGTTACAAACTAAATCATTCCTAAATCATAGTTGGGTATGTTGAGGTAATTTCTTTGAAAACTTGCAATGACACAAATGCTATGGAGGTAGAACTGAATTATCAGTAAATTGAAGTCAGTTGTACCAGAGAAACATAGGTCATAATTATATTATATAATGAGCCATGAATTGCACAAACAATGAGTTGCATCAAACTGATCAGTGTGAGATCAGGTTACAGAAAAGACTTGATTTTAGTTTTAGTAAGTTTATTACTTGTTACAATAGAGTTACAATGGTTTAATAGTGTGTTACTAATGTAGCCATCATTTTTTGTACTTCTTATTGATGCAAGGACATTGTATTTTTGTTGGTTTAAACTATAAAAGTGTGTGATGACTGATTAGCTTTCCATCATCTTCCTGTATTTCAGGAAAGACTGTTAAATACCTTTATCTGTAAATGTTCTTTTTTAAACACCTCCCTTTCCTGAAACACACTTACTTTTTCAATGTAATAGGTTGTACATTGTAATTTGCAATGTAATGGGTTATACAGCTTCAGGAAACAATCCCAAAAAAGTGTAGAACATGTTGGATTATTTACTGTTTTACATTTTACTGTATATGATGATACTAGGTGTACAAAGAGATACTAACATTCTGTTGCTTAATGTTCTATATCAAGGCACTTGAAATTAATAACTAATGTTACATTATTTGCTGTTTGCATGTAGGTGTTTATTGGGATGTTTTAAATTTACAGAAATATACTGTACATAATGTTGTATTATGCTACATTAGCAAACTAATCAAATGACATTACACTTGTGTCACAGATCCTTCGCAGTCTTGTAGGAAGAAGAGTATGACCCCACCTCCCTCTAGTAAGTCACACTGCGTCTGTTTCCTCTGGAATTGAGAATATACAGCAAATAACATAAATAATGTAAATATTTTGTGGCGGCTGCCATTTGCTCCGTTTGCAGAGGAATTTTTAAGGGAATGGGGTGCAAAACAGAGCTGCACACTCTGCCTCCCCCTCCTTGATAGAGACATTTGTTGTATTTCTTCTTATTGTTATGGCCCAAATGGATGATTAATCTAAGAGGGCATTGTAATATATCACAACATATTTGATAGATTGGCTATGTTAAATTGGATCTACAGCTTGGGCTGTAGAAGTTGAAGTTTTAGAGACAGTTCAGAAACTCGATCATGCACCTTGTTTCAAAAGTCTTTTTTCCTTAATAGAGAACTAGAGAGTTAAGCTACACAAGACCTTCACTCTGAACACCCAGTCAAGTTTCCTCACTAAATGTGCTAAGCCTGCTTAGGAATCTTCTGAAGAAAAAAAAAAATCCATCTGTAAAAAAAAACACATGGGTCTTAGTTACTGGCACCTCTAGAAATCCTGGAAAGTAAAGCAATGATTATTACTATAGTTTCACTGGGTCATTATCATTTACTTATTTTTCCAATTTATTGCCTAAATATGTGATGATACAGTGCAATTTAGTGTGAGTTTGTACTTACCACCTTGTTACTTTTTTGTCACTAATATTTTCTTCATTTAGGACATAATGTTCTTTATGAGTTTAATATCTAGAACCTAAGTAAATACCCATTTTTACCCAAAATAGTAACACAGTACAAGTATATTTTGCCACCAAGCACAATGCTCCGATTTTCAAGAGGCAAACACGCTCTTTAAATCTCTACCACAGCTGTAGCCCGCCGCAGATTCCCACCATGGGTTATGAATCAGGGCCCAAAACCAGTTGATGGTAGCTCACACTCCCAAACACAGTACCTACCCAAACTGCTCCAGCGTTCACATAGCCTGTAAACATTAACAACGCATACTTGCAAATTCAAACGAAAGCCTTTACTTAGTGGTTTAAGAACTAAATACAGCCCAGCTAAACATGAGCAAAGCATCATGGGAACAAAAACATGCTCTGACGCCACAACATGTCTAAATCCAAACAAAAGTAGTTAATTGACCACAGAATCAAGCTTTTAATGTGTTCATCCCCTGGCTTAAACCCCACTGAAAACCTGGAGGCTGTGTGGATTATTTCACTGTGAAGCTATATCAGACTAACAAGCAAATGTCAGTTTATTCACATAGACTGTTTATTTCTGTCAACCACCTGCCACATAAATGTATATAAAAGAGATATGGCTGGACCAACTAATTTTAGTAGAGAATGGGCAACTATGTCATGGCACATTACATTCTGGGTAATGGTCACCATGTTTTAGTCTTAACACAGAAAAAACCATGAATGGACCAGCCAAAGATCAAGTGCAGGTTTCCTTAATGGGAGAAGATGGAGTATTTGTCACATTGGTATTAGTTTCCTTCCTCAGTGTTTGGAAGCTTAATATTTTGTTAACTCAGTAAACCCCATAGAATTTTATTACAATCCTGCGTATTTAAGACAATGTTGAGAGTTAGGGGCTTATTAGTCACTGTTTTAAACAAAACATTATCATTAAACTGAAAAAAAGGGCAGTTACCTCTTGGTTTCATTTGTGAAATGACTGGCACATTATAAACTAAAAATATCGTCTCATAGATTAAATTAGCTAAATGCCAAACTCTGTCCTCTACGCTTTTAAAAGTCCTCTCTTTTCTTTGAAAAACTGAGGCAAGTTAGTGAAAGATATTAAATGGCAAACAACATTAAAGACAAATAGCCAAGTACACATTGCTTACCTGCCACAGAGAGGAGACATGTAGACAAACAGAAATAGCAGGCTAGCTAAACGGGGGTGCATTTCCTAAACAATGCTTTAAGTCACATCACTGATGAACCAACATAGTACGGTGGATCTTCAAACTAACTAACATCCAACTAATGACTGTTTCCCAAAACCGTTGCTTAGTCACACCACAGCAGTTTTAACCACTTTAGTTGAAACCATCTTAGTTTAAACTACAGTGGGTTAATCTTTGTCTGTATTGGAATTTGCAGAAAATAACCTGCCAAAATGCCTATCAATTGTAGCCTATACTATGCAGATAAAGTGCAACTTACTGTATCATGAATGAGCATGAAAATTGAGCTTTAACGAAACCCATGAAAAAAAATATCTAAAATAATAGCCGGTTTAGACTACAGCATTGAGGTTTAGCTATATTGATTTCAGTCTTTTCTTAATAACTTAAAAACTTTTTTTTTTTTTTGCAAAAAGTTGTGATATATCCTAAAAACATTGCTTCTAATAATGTTGAATTAAAACAAGAAACTTTATATTCAAAGGTGCAGAATGTTTAAATCCAGCCCACATATTGGTGGGCAATATGACGATATTTTATCATTATCATGATGACTTACATCACAATATGCTGTTCTCAGTATTTCAAGGATATTGTCTGTACTTAACTCACACTGACCAACAGCCTGTTTCAAAAAAAACTTCATGTTTATATTTTTACATATGGGGCAGCTTGTTAGATTTTTTTAAACAATATAATTTGGGAAAGCTTTTTCATCAGAGGTTTTCCTACATTTTAAGGTAAATTTGCTATATATATATATATATAAAAACAGTGTAATATTATTTTAGATTTATTATTTCAGTGGTGCCCTGCGATGGACTGGTGGCCTGTCCAGGGTGTATCCTGCCTTCCGCCCAATGACAGCTGGGATAGGCTCCAGTACCCCACCACGACCCAGAAGGATAAGCGGTTTAGATGATATGTGTGTGTGTGTGTGTGTGTGTGTATTTCAGTGGTATCTGGGACCTTGTATTTTCTGAGTACATCCTTGCTGAGCTTCCCCTGTTTTTTACCAGTTCTGTGTCACTCTCCTCTGCAATACATACAAACTCTTAGTTGGGCCTCTTGAACTGCTGTTATTGTTTAGCACTGTAATGCTGTCATAACATTTAGTGTATCAAAAGTAAAATAAATACAACTTCTCTATTTTAAAAAAACTGAGTAACATAATCATCTCCTGTAGCAAAATACTATACACCACATCATCCATATCTCAAATATACATTAATCTTCCTTAATGTATTCATATCAGATTGTTTTTCACTGTAACATATTTTAATATTGTCCCATATTATCTGTCATGTAGTAGAATTTGGGACAAGTTAACATGCTGTAACCTGTATTTTTACCTTTGTTTTGTTGCACCTGCTGCCACTATGTTTATCTACAATTTTTTCTGTTACCATATACAGTGAAAAAGTATTTGCCCCTTCCAATTTATTCAGCTGTTGCATATTTGTCATAATTTAATGTTTCAGATCAAGCTACGTTTAATATTAGACAAAGATAACACAAGTAAAAACAAAATTCTGTTTTTTAATGATGATTTCATTTATGTGTGAGAAGTGAAAAAATAATTGTGAAAAAATAATTGCACCCTTAGCTACTAAATCAACCAGTTAACCAATTAAATTGACTATTTTGTTCAATTTCACTAGCCATACCCAGGCAGGTTTACTGCCCGACCTGCTGAATCTAAACATCACTTAAAAAAACTATCTGGCAATGTGAAGCAGACTAGAAGGTCTCATCTTTGAATGGCTCAAAAGAAACAAAATTAAGGTTTTGGAGTGGCCGAGTCAAAGTCCTGACTTAAATCCATTTAAGATGCTGTGGCAAGACCCTAAACGGGCACTCAAACAATTCTGCAAAGAAGAGTGGGCTAAAGTTCCTTCACAGCGATGTAAAAGACCCAGCACAAGTTATTGCAAATGTTTGATTGCAGTTGTTACTGCCCAGGGTGGAGGATAAAGGTTTTGAATAAGTCTTTATTTTCAATAATTGCAGTGATCATTTAAAAGCAGTATTTTCTGTTTACTTGTGTTGTCTTTACCTTATATTAAATTAGTTGGATGATCTGAAACATTAAAATGTGACAAATTAGCTAAAATTGAAGAAATCAGGTGAGGGGGAAAAACTTTTTGACAGAACTGTAAATGGTAATATGACTTGCAATATGACTAATATGACTTTCATATGAAGTTCATTCCAATTTTGTTTTTACTAGGCCTGCATTTGTTTCTTTACATCTTTAATTTTCTTTACAAAAATTTACTATAAAGGTTTACTATAGAGGTACATAGCTCAGAACTTTTGTTAAGTGTGTGAATATTAGGTACAATCCCAATTCCAAAAAAAGTTGACAGTATGTGATGTTAACCCTTATAAACTCCAATGTGTTAATATATGCTCATTCATATGAAGCCTACAATACATACCAAAAAAGTTGGGACAGGAGCATGCTTATCCACAGACGAAGGAAGGTGTTTTAAGTTGGGGATGCTAAAATTTTAAGCAGAATACAGGGGATGTGACCATTGACATCGTGCAAAATTATTTGCCCACCCGCCCTCTTTTTTTTTTGCTAATCTACATGAAACAGAATGTGTCATACAGTGCTATAATGATATATATAACACAATATGACAGTATATACATCTAATTGACACATCACACCACTGCTCTCTTGTTCTTGGGCAAACACTGAACTAAGCAGCAACCATCAGCAGGAGATATAAAATGTTATTATTAGATTAGATTATTTTTTTTATGAACAATATTAGTCTGCTTTGGTGCTCTGGACTGGCCTATAACTCTGCACAGACATTCCCTCTTTAAACCTCAACCTGCATGTCTTGCGACTACCCCTGAAAGTGGCCAGTTGTTTTTGGCTCACTTTACAAGTTCAGAACATATTTTTATTCTTAACAGTTGCAATCCTGAAATCAGGGGGTGCTGGATTCCCAGTAATCCAGTTTTGAAAGTGAAATTTTTTGCCATTCTTCAGTTATGCAAGTCTTCAGCTGAATAACTGCATGGGGCCTTTGCTGTATTTTGCACTTCATAGTGTTCTACACATTTTCAGTAGGAGACAAGCAGGCCAGTCTAGCAGCTGCACTCTCTGATTATAAAGCAATGTTGTTGTAACAGTATTACAAAAAGTTGCCTCTTTAGACCACAATTCATGTTCTCGCTGTGCATCAGACAATTTCAGATGAGCTCCAGTGTAGAGAAGTCAGCAGCATGTCTGGACGTTGTTGACATATGACTTCTTCTGTGCAAACCCTTAACTTGCATTTATAGATGCAACGATGAACAGTGATCACTGTCAATGGTTTGTCAAAGTATTCTCAAGCCCATGCAATGATATGAATCACAGAAGCATGCCAGTTTTTAATGAAGTGTCATCTGTGGGACTGAAGGTCACAGGCATTCAGTTGTGTTTTTTTTTGGCCTGTTTTTTGCAGTGATTTTTCCAGATTTCCTGCATTTTTAAATAATATTATGCACTGTACAGAGTAAAATACCTAAAACCTTGCCAAAGCTCAGTAAAAAAGCTTGTTTTCAAAACAGTAAACTATTTGCTGATGCATTTTTGGCAAAGTGGCGAGCCTCAACCCATCCTTGCTCATAAAGGACTAGGCCTTTCCTATATGCTCCGCTTATACCCAAGTACGATAACATCACCTTCTTAAAATTTTAACTATTCTTAAATTGCTCCTGTTCCAACTTTTTTGGAATGTGTTGCAGGCATCAGTTTCAGAATAAGCACACATTAACAAAAAATAATGAAGTTGATAAGATAAAACATTAAATTGTAGCAGATTTCATTATTTTTATTCATAAACTGAACAGAACTCTTGTGACAAAGCTAACCTTTTTGACTTAACATACAAAGAGAAACCACCACGCGCCAGGATGTCTGGTCAAAATCTGACCAACCAGGTTTAGGGCCCCAGAATCCTCTGAGGACTCTCTCAACCCCTTCATCTCACCATCTTTCTCACCTCATTGCAGCATTGTGCAAAAGAGGAACACCTGACCTTAAAGATCAAGATAAGATACACAATGACCAGATAACCCTGAGTCTGTAACACTAATGGTTACAGACACAAAATCACAAAATCCCTTTTGCAAATACTCTAGGAAAGGATCCATCTCCCCCACTACCCTCTGCACATAAGGTCATAAATTCCCTCAGGCCGCAAATTCCTTCAGACCTTCCTTCATAATAGTTGTTACAGCTATGATAGCTTTCATTAAAATTATTATTTTGATAGTTTTTACCTCATTTGCATTTAAATATATTTCAGTGAATTATGTTTTAACTTCATATTTGCTTCCCCCTTTTTCTAATCATGTTCTCTTACTCCTCAAAGTAGAATCGTGTAAGCAAATTTGTAACTTGTGTAACAATTTTCATGCAAAATGTAGTAAATTTTGTAATAGAGGTTCTGTCATAAATATCCACTGGAAATATTAATATTAACTAGATAACATGCTCAGCATTTCTTATACTCTATACTATGTAACTTATTTTTCATTTAAGCATTGTTTAGAGATGTTATAGTGCTGATTAACACTAACTTTGGAATTGTGTTCTTTTATTAGAAAATCTCATTTCCTTTTTTAGTAACCATGTTTCTTTTAGAAGAATTGGGGTTAGAGGTTTCAAATAGCTTTATGTAACCATTGTGTGAAATCAGAGTACTTTGAGTATAACAGATTCTTTGTTTATTAGTTTCTGGTAATACTTACTTTTGAAACAGTAATAATGCTTATATATGAAATTATGTGTTTATAATGTTCTTTTACTTATTGCTATGCTGCCATGCTCAGAAATATATGTATGTGAAGTCATTTTTTGGTGAATTTGAGAAGAGACAAACAGGAAACAGATAATAGATATCAGAAATAGATAGAAGAAGAGCTCATACTTTGCAGATTTTTGTTTCATGTCTCAGTTGATCATGTCTATGTTCATTTTTCTTCACTCACACACTGATCTGACAGAAGTGTTGTTAATTATTAGACTCACTGCGCTTACTGCTAATAGTCCAACCGAGCTGCATTTGTTTCAATTTCTGTCTATTCACTTTGTGACTTTTGAATGACCAGTGATAGCTCATTGCAAACCTTGAAAACAAAAAAAAATGTAAGAAGTATAAGAAGTAGAGTGAGGAAAGAATGACAGGAGTAGTAGAGAAGTACAGAGAAGTAATGAAGGCAGGAAGAATCCAACAGCCAGGGCCTGGGATCAGACACAGCAGTGCTGCTGGAGTCTTTAAACACTTGAGTGTCACTGCTGGACTGAGAATAGTCCACCAACCAAAAACATCCAGCTAACAGCATCCTGTGACCACTGATGAAGGACTGGAGGATGACCAACACAATCTATGCAGCGACAGATGAGCTACTGTGTCTGACTTTACATCTACAAGGTGGACCAACCAGATGGTTGTGTCTCATAGAGCGGACAGTGAGTGGACACAGTGTTTAAAAACTCCAGCACCACTGCTGTGTCTGATCTGTTCGTACCAGCACAACTAACAGACTAACACACCACCACCACATCAGTGGCTCTCTGTCCTCAATAAAACCTGCTCTGTGATGATTCTGACCGTTAAAGAATAGGATGAAAAGGGGCTAACAATGTATGCAGAGAGACAGAAGGACCACAGTCTATAATTGTAGAACTACAAAGTTCACCTATAAGGTGAGTTGATGAAATGAGTATAAAAAGGTGGCTTTAATGTTATGGCTGATTGGGTGTATCTATGTATGTGTGTGTGTGTGTGTGTGTGTGTGTGTGTGTATGTGTGTGTGTGTGTGACTGTTTCAATTGATATATTTTCTGTGTTGTCTAGTGTCTGAACTGAGGATTGTTCTTCTGGGGAAGGACAGCTCAGAGATCAGCAAAGTGGGAAACTTCATCCTGGGCAGAGCAGTGTTTGATACTGAAGCACCTCCTCCTTCAGTAGAGCAGCACAGTGAGAGAGCCAGAGGAAATGTGGAGGGAAGATACATCACCCCCATCAACACTCCTCACCTGTTTAATCCTGAACTCTCTATAGAGGAAATGTATCACAGAGTGAAAGAGTGCATGTCTCTGTGTGCTCCTGGACCTCATGTTATAGTGCTGGTTCTGCAGCCAGACGACTTCACTGAGACAGACAGAGACAGACTGTATCACATCCTTCACTCTCTGTCTGAGGAGCCTCTTAAACACACTCTGGTGCTGACAACACATTCAGGTACCAGTGTAGATCTAGTTGATGAGAATGTCTTTCAGAAGATCATTACAGAATGCGGTAACAGGCATTTTGAGTTTAGAAGTGAATGCAGTCGTTCTGCTCTTGTGGAGGTGATGGAGAAGATGGTTGAAGAGAATGGAGGGAATCACCTTCAGTGGGAGGAATATGAGGATGCTCCACCAGCACCAGCGCAGCAAGAGCATGAACAAACAACACAGAGAGTGTCTGAAGAAACAGTGTGTGAAAAGAACACCATGGAACAATGTAAGTATAGTTTAATTAATTTAAAAAATAGTAGTTATAGTAGTTATTTTTTAATGATTTTTATGTTTGTTTTTCACTAATGAAGTAACAGCTATTATGTTAAGTATATTAGAATTAGCTTTTCCTTAACTTACAGTGTTTTTGTCAATCATGTTGATGATCTATAAATAGCAGGACAAGCATGGGGATTTTTCCAAGCATTTTTCCAGAGATTAATTCGTCAAGGTAGACCTTCTCATGGTAAGTAATTGTCAGGTTTAATCTAAATAAAGTGTTTCTTAATCATGTGATATTATATCCCATTTACATCCCCCTAAAGCCATAATTTAATATATATATATATATATATATATATATATATATATATATATATATATATATACACACACACATCAGGCATAACATTATGAACACCTCCTTGTTTCTACGCTCATTGTCCATTTTATCAGCTCCACTTACTATATAGGTGCACTTTGTAGTTCTACAGTTACAGACTGTAGTCCATCTGTTTCTCTGCATACTTTGTTAGCCCCCTTTTACCCTGTTCTTCAGTGGTCAGGACCCCCATGGACCCTCACAGAGCAGATACTATTTGGGTGGTGGATCATTCTCAGCCCTACAACAACACTGACGTGGTGGTGGTGTGTTAGTGTGTGTTGTGCTGGTCTGAGTGGATCAAACACAGCAGTGCTGCTGGAGTTTTTAAACACCTCAGTGTCACTGCTGGACTGAGAACAGTCCACCAACCAAAAATATCCAGCATTAGCATATTTTAGGAAACTGGACTGTGATAGGTTCAAGCTTACTTGTGATGTATTAAGGTGCTATGTAGTGCCAACAAATTTATGTTTTTTCAGTTAATTCAGAGACAGCCTGTGGGAGCTCTAAGCTACAGTAATGCATTTGATACAAATATCAATCTATATGATCATAAGAAACCATCTAAAATGAATTCCCCATTTAACCAGTGAGTGCAGAGACTCTTTGAAAAAAATATTTGAGCTTATTCTTTTTTTAGTTTATATCACTGTTGTCATGCACTGATTTAGTGGAAGATTGTCTGCCTTTAAATTTGATCCATAGTATCAGTTTTTGTTTCTCTTTCAGTGCCTCAGAGCCTGAACTTGGTTCTGTGTGGGAGTGACGGAGCAGTGAAGGCCTCCATATCAGATCTCATACTGGGTCAGAGAGAGCTCAGTCCAGAGTCCAGCTCAGTATGTGTGAGGAGGGAGGGAGAAGTGTGTGGACGTCTGGTCACTCTGGTGGAGATGCCAGCCCTCTACAACACTCAGCTCTCAGAGGAGGAAGTGATGCAGGAGACTCTCCGCTGTGTCTCTCTCTGTGATCCTGGAGTTCATGCTTTTCTCCTCATCATTCCTGAGGGTCCCCTCACTGATGAAGACAAAGGAGAAATAGAGAAGATCCAGAGAATCTTTGGGTCCACATTCAACAACTACACCATGTTCCTCATCAATACAGTGACTGAGAATAAGGAAGTGAAGTTAGATGATACCATTAAAAATATTGTGGAAACATACAGAGGACATTTTTGTGTTTTGGATGCCAACATAAATTCAGTGCTTTTACAGCAAGTTAAGAAGATGGTGGTACAAAACTGTGAATCCTGCTATACAACAGCCATGTATCTGGATGCACAGGTGAAAACACAACTGAAATATAAGTCTGAGAATGAAGAATTGAATGACACAGTCAATTTCCTAAGGAAAGAAATTAAAAAACAAACACAAGGTAAGTCAATTTTGCTTTAGTGTTACTACGCACAGGAAAAATGACTTTTTAAACCTTTACGGCCAACACAGAAATGTGGCTATACCTGCTGTTTTGCTGTTGTTGTACTTTTGTTTAAATGTTTAACATTTAATTTTTCAGTTCTGTTGTTGCATTTATTTCATATGTAAAAAACATAATCTAACAAATCTAAAAATGACATGACAAACTATATTTTTGAACAAGCAATCACATGAGTAGACTTCAGTCATGTTTATTGATTAAGTGATTAAGTGACTTACTGATCTGAATTGCTCTCTGAATAGCTTGTATGCTCACTCAGAAAAAACAAAAATACATACAGCCAGACCCAGATCTTTTATTATGACAGAAAACACACTCACACATAGGCAGCTTTCATTCTGTGTGCCGATCAACACACTTTATTCTCCGTTTAAAGATGAGATCTACTGGGTGATTTGTTTTCTGAGAAAAAACAAGCAAGCCTTTAGTTGTTTTTGTGCCTTCTCTTTATATATATTGGTACCTTTCCTAATTATTTAGGTTCCTTTTTTGTAGAGTTCTCACCAGATAGAGGAGATCTAAGGATTGTGCTTCTGGGGAAGACAGGATCAGGGAAGAGTGCCACAGGAAACACCATCCTGAAGATGAAAGCTTTCAGAGAGTTACCTTCCTCTCAGTCAGTTACATGTGTGTGTCAGAAAGAATCAGCTGAAGTCAGAGGGAGACGGATCTCTGTGATTGACACTCCAGGACTGTTTGACACAAATATTCCTAATGAAGAGATCATGAAGGAAATTGCTAAGTGCATCACCATGGCAACTCCAGGTCCACACGTCTTTCTGCTGGTTCTTACAGTGGGACGCTTCACACAAGAGGAGAAAGATGCAGTGAAGATGATCCAAGAACTGTTTGGTGATGAATCCAGAAGATACACCATAGTGCTGTTCACCAGAGGAGATGATCTACGGGAAACAACCATTGAAGAATTTATTAAAACTTCTGAGCACAGCCTTCAAAACATCATTCATCAGTGTGATGGCAGATATCATGTGTTCAACAACAGAAATCCTGAAGACCGCAGTCAGGTCTCTGAACTACTGAAGATGGTCGACTCCATGGTGGCAGAGAATGGAGATAGATGTTACACTAATGAGATGTTCCAGCAGACAGAGAAAGCTCTACAACAAGAACAGAAGAGGATAATGAAGGAGAAACAGAGGGATGTAGAAAGAGAAAAAGAACAACTGAAAGCCAAGCATGAAACTGAAATTAAAAAAATGAAGGAGATGATGGAGGCTGAGAGGCAAAAATTGGAAAAAGAAAGGAGAGAAAAGGAGGAAGAGTTTAAAGAGAAAGAAGTGCAAATAAAGAAGGAGACAAACGAGGAACATAAAAAAGAAATGGACCAAAAACTTAGAGAACAGCAAGACACCTTCAATAAGGAGATGGAAAGAAAAGACCAGGCCCATGAAAAACAGATGCAGGAAGACTTGAAAACCCTCAAAGAAAATTATGAGTGGGAAAAGGAAAATATTAGGAGACAGGAAGAGGAGAAGGCGAGGCAGCAAGCTGTAAATGAATTCTGTGATAAACTGGAGGAACAGGTGGCCAAAGCCAGAGAAGAGGGCAAGAAAGAGGGCTATGAGAAGGCAGAGAGAGAGGGTAAACAGGTTCAAATAGGAATGATAATAGGAGCAACTGTAGGAGCAACCATAGGAGCATTTGGAGGGCCAGGAGGCTTAGCTGCAGGAGGAGCAGTAGGTGGATTCGTTGGTAATTTAGTGAGTAAAAAGTAATACATAAATAAAAATAATTCTGTATGTTACAGTGCTTTTATCGTGGGTAACCACCATATAAAATCACTGTAACACACAGTCTTATCGTGGCCCAGCTCTATTAAAACAGCGGACAACATAAAATATGATTAAATATATAATTTATCAATAAATAATTTGTTATTATCAATAATAATCAAGATAAACAAGTATTCAGCCAAGAAATGTAGTTGGTTTACAGGATGTTGCCAAGCAACCATGGAGAGAGGGCAAGGACGTTCAGTCGCCCATTATTGTATAGCAGTCATTTCATGACCTTTTGAACTTTTTGTGATATAATAATGAAAAATCATAATATAGAAATGCTGGGGCTGAATCTCAAATGGCTCCCTATATAGTGCACTAAGTAGGAATTGACATATTGCCTGTTGTGTTTTTTGTCTTGTTTTCTATACTTTTCACTTATTTTAGTTGTTGTGTATTGTTAAGCAGTGTTAATGATGAAGCTGGGTTCTCCTGACTGGCTCACTATATTTTGTTTTCATGGTTTGAAGAATAAGAGCGCTCAGTTATTTTACAACATTTCTAAGGACAGGAATAGAGCACTTTTTCTGAGAACACCAACTCTGTTCTTTTTATGGTTATTGGAGGGTCTTAGGGGGGAGACAAATATAGCTCTGTGTCTGAAAGTTGTTACACACCAGACGCAACAGGATTTTTTTGGAATTTCACCAAATTGTTCATGCAGTGGAAAAAAAGACGGAGGCCTTAAAGGGGAAGTCCACCAATTTTTCAAAAGTTCCACATAATTAAATAGTTAAGATGTAGACAAAGTCATTCAGAGTTTGTTTGGTGTGAAATGCTCCATTCTAAAGAAACTTACCAAGTCAGAATTGTTCACAGTGGTGGTGATAGGAACCAGACATCTGAAGAGTTGAATACCTCTAAAAGCACCCTCACAGAAAGTTGTAACATGAAATGGTTATGAATACACTGCCTGGTGACTCAGACACTGTTTTATGGTAGTTTTGTGGTAAAGTTTTGGCCTAAAACATCTTATTAATCAGTGTCTTTTAATCCATTCATGGTGGAGGAATACATGCAGGGTATTGTGAGGCAAAATAGTCACCAAAGAAAATGTATTTTTCAGATTTTTCAATATTTTACCACCATTAACACTACTTTACAAAACTCAGTAGACATGTGTAGGTTCACTGGTGATTTTGAATAGTAAATAAAATGGCTATGTTTTTGTTGTAGACACAAATCTGAGTCCGTAACTTAATGGCTAATTTTACATTAAACCACTCTGACACTGTTTACATCAAAACAACAGAATTATGCAAAAAAGAGAAAAAAATCAGTGGCATTCCCCTTTAAAACTGCTGTGTCAGACTGGGTTGTGATGAGATGTACTGAGTGCTCTCAGAATAAAAGTCATCATTTCTGCAAATGCTGTTCTCTTAAACTCTCTTGACTTTGCAAAGAAAAAGATTTACAACACCATGTGTGCATTATTTCTTACTGCACAAAGAGTCTTTCATAACATACATAGTGCACTAGAAAAGGTTAGTTTAGTGAATAAGGAGTATTTTATAATTTTTGTGATCATAAAGGGTAATCTGACTGTAGGACTGGATCCTTTTTATAATGTATGACTGAAATTCTCTCTGGAATTGGGGAATCTCTGGAATCAAGAATGATTGTTGGAGATAAGCGTGGCAAAAATACAAATTCCATTTTCACTCTTCTATACTTTGTGTGTGTATGTGTTTTTTTCAAAAAGCCAGAAGGTAACAAAAAAGACATAATATGGAGTTGGAAATAAAATAAACAAACATTAATTAATTAAATAACTTTATTCACACGAAAACTTCTATGCAAGGAATGTAAGTAATTTGTGAGTATATGTCATATGTCTGTCCTAGATTAAGATGCCAGTATATAATTTTCTTTCTTCTGTGTTTTTCCTGTGTTTGGAGTTTTTTGTTATTAAACTTTATTTTGTAACCTTCTCTGTATTCAGATGAAATAAATGAAATAATGATAATGATAATTAATGATTTTTTAACTGAACACTATAAACAGTTGGGAATATAACAATCTTTGCTGACCGATATGAGGGTGGAACTTCAGTATTCCAGGTTCATTTATCTTTTATGTGTTAGTTTATTTATTAACCTGTGTGTATCCTGCTCAGGAGAGGGTTGCCAGGACATTCCCCTGGAGCCAGGCCTGGGGGTAGTGTTCCTCAGCGAGTGCCAGGTGGCTGGGCAGCCCGCGTAACCCAGGCAGGCTCAGCCCCAAAAAGGCAACATGGGGGGACCATGTGGGCCCACCACCCGCAAGGTCCAGCATGGGGGACTCCCAAGCTATATTTAGCAGGGGTGGAGAAACTGACTTCAAATGGAGATATTGTCGGTCAGCAGAAGGACAACGGTCGGTGGAAGCCAGAGGCTTCTGGTGTGTCAGGCTCCTTTTCCCTGATGGAGGTCACTGAGGTAGTTGGCAAGCTCCTTAGTAGCAAGGCACCAGGGGTAGTGAGAATCATCCAGAAATGCTTAAGGCTCTGGTGTTGTGGGGCTGTTGTGGCTAACACACTTCTGCCATATTGCAAGGACCTCGGGAACAGTACCCTTGGACTGGCAGACCAGGGTGGAGGTCCCTATTTTTAAGAAAGGGGATCGAAGGGTGTGTGCCAACTACTGGGGTATCACACTGCTCAGCCTCCCTGGGAAAGTCTATGCCAAAGTGCTGGAAAGGAGACTCCAATCTATAGTTGAACCTCAGATTGATGAGGAACAATGCGGATAACATCCCGGCCGTGGAACAATGGACCAACTTTTCACCCTCACACAAAATGTTAAGGGGGCATGGGAGTTTGCCAACCCAGTCTACATGTGTTTTGTGGACTTGGAGAAGGCTTACGACCGTGTTCAAAAAAAGCTTTTTTAATGTCTTACTGTCATTTACACAAGGAAAATAGATATGAGCATATGCATCCAACTGAATAATAACATCACTTACCTAATGTGCATTCTCTGTTCTTCATTTGGTTGCAGTATGGCAAAATAACCTACTCTCTTAGATGACAGAAAAACAAAAGTAAAGGAAAGGCATTATTACCAGTGCATCCACCCAGTTTCTGACCAAACACACTTGAACATATATCACATTGTACTTATGACATCCAAAGTCGTAAGTAGGAACTTCCGAAGGAGACTAAAAGGCAGCAATAGCTACTACCTGAATATGCAGAATGGAAAGCATTTACAACATTAAAAGAAAGCATCGCTGTCTTCACTGCCACCAGCTTAAAGTTAGTTGGGTAAGCAAGAAATACTGCATTGTGAGACAGACTCCTGGATCGTAAATGCTGAGAAGGTTATCTGTAAATTAAACTATAACTTATTGGAACCCCAAACCAGCATCCAATCATCAGCAATACACAAATAGCCAGTTCTAAATGTATATAATTTTAACATCCTGTGGTAGTCATCATTGTTATTAGTCAAGCTTTAATTCTATAGTACATTAGCTAGCCAGATGGGAGACCCCCAGAAATTGCTTAGGACCCCTACAATACTAGAGCAGGCCATGGCTACAAATTGAGGTTTTCATCTTTTTAAATCACAGTAAGTCATACTGTGTCTTAAATCACATCAGCAAGTCTTAAGAACTAGTTTGACTTCCATATTGTAGACTTCAATATTTTGCATGATTTTAGCATCTTTTAACACCATTAGCCTTGTAGCTCCCGTACAAAATTAGAGAAGCAAACTTCAGATGCCAAACATGTTTTGGATGCTCAGCTACATTTAGGGAAAAAACAGGCAAATTAGATTTTTTTTTTGTTGAATCATCTTTTTAAGAGAGCTCAGTGTGTGTGAGGAGGGAGGGAGAAGTGTGTGGACGTTTGGTCACTCTGGTGGAGATGCCAGCTCTCTACAACACTCAGCTCTCAGAGGAGGAAGTGATGCAGGAGACTCTCCACTGTGTCTCTCTCTGTGATCCTGGAGTTCATGCTTTTCTCTTTATTGTTCCTGAAGGGGACTGATGAGGAGGTACAAGAATCAAATAACAGAGATGAAAACAACTATTCATACACTAAAGAGACAAATCCAAAGTCATTCAGAAGGTAATAGTCTTCTACAATACAATAATTTTATGAAATAACAGTTCCAGATGTTCTATTTAAGAATTCTGGCACATTTTGACAGCTGCATCTGTTTGGCATTTGCTATATTTCATCTCATTTTCATGTCTTACATTTAGGGGCAAGCCGAGATGCTCTCAGGATTGTGCTGTTGGGTAAAACGGGAGTGGGGAAGAGTGCAACAGGAAACACCATCTTAGGAAGAGAAGATGCATTCAGAGATGAGGTGTCTCACACATCAGTTACCACAGTGTGTCAGAAAGAAACAGCTGAAGTCAATGAATGGCAGATCACTGTGACTGACACTCCAGAACTGTTTGATACTCGAGCTGATAAGAAGTCAGAAAGGAGATCACAAAATGCATCTCCAGGTCCACATGTGTTCCTGCTGGTGCTGAAAGTGGGACAGAGATTTTCAGAAGAAGAAAAGAAAGCAGTGCAAATAATCCAGGACATTTTTGGTGAAGAATCAGTAACATACACTATGGTGCCTTTTACTGGAGGAGATCTTCTAGAATTGATGTCCATTGAAGATTATCTTGGAGAACCTGGATCTGATATTATGAGCCTGATTGAACAGTGTGGTAACAGATTCCACGTCTTCAACAACAAGGAGACCAGAGACCAAACCCAGGTCACTGATCTACTGGAGAAGATCGACTCCATGGTGGAAGTGAATGGAGGGAACTGCTACACTAATGAGATGTTCAGGCAGGTAGAGAAAAAAGAACAAGAAGAATGTGAGAGAATCCTGAAGGAGAGAGTGGAAAAGTTAGAGAGAGAGAAAGAAGAACTGAAAGCAGAGATAGAACAAATGAAGAAAACAACTCAAGATGAAAAACAACATGAGAGAAAGAAAAGAGAGGAAGAGTTTAATGAGAGAGAACAGAGACTCAGAAGAGAAATGGAAGAAAAAGAGGTACAAAACAAGAGTGCTGATGTTAAAAGAGCTGAGGAACATGAAAACAAAAGAAAGAATGATGAGAAAAGGATGGAAGAGAGAGAGAAAGCAATATTCTCCCAGATGGAAAAACAGAGAGCAGAACTTAAGAGACAAAGACATGAAGATCAAATAAAGAGAGAGCAGGAGGATGAGAAAAAGAGAGAGAGAGAAGATAGAGAACAGGAGAGAACAGGATGAGAGACACAGAAAAGAAAGAGAAGAATATGAATATAAGATAGAAGAGCTGAAGAGAAAAGTGCAGAATGATGAAAGGAGGAGAGCAGAGGAAGAGAAAAAGCGAAGTGATCTAGAGGAGAGAATGAAGCTTTCAGAAGAGAAACACATGAAGGAGCTTGAAGACTTAAGGCATCTACAAAAGGAGCTGCAGATCAGAGTCCAAGAGGAAGAACAGACTAAAGAAAAGCTCATAGAAAAACATCAGGAGGAAATAGAGAGAATGTGGAAGAGCTCTGAGGAGGAAAGACTGAAACAGGAGATGGAGAGAAAAAGGAGTGA